AAAAGAATTCCAAAGTATTTTTATTTTTTTATTTTTTTTTTTATTATTATTTTTCGAGAGAGTTTTCTTTTCCAATAAAGGTGAATGTCGGTAAAAAATATATAGTTTGGAACTATGTTGAAGCGCATTTCGTGAAAAATACGTCTAAATCAAAGAAGGAAAATAAGGAGGACGCAATCATAAAAATGATAGAGTTTCTGGTTGGCAACATATATATTCTTTAAACAGATTATAAGAACTAACTTTCGTCTTTGTTTTCATATGAAGCTGAACTTATCAAAGGGCTTATCAAAAGCCTTGCAGAGTCGTTTACTTTTACTTTCAGATATGTTGATGACGTCTTGTCTTCAAACAACAAAATGAATTATTGACCACGTCCATTATGTGAACGTTTTACGGTCTTCATAATTATCTCATTGACAACTATTCTATTCCTTATAGAAAGCGGGACGTATTTAATGCTCATTAGTTTGTTTGTTGGTTCCATCGTTGTATACATTGTTCTCATTTGAGAGCATAACATTACTTACTTTGACTGACACGAGGTTTACATGGCGGGTGTCGTCTATAAAACAAAAGACGCTTACTCTTCCGGAACACTTCGTCTTATTTTCCTTGTATTGATTCAGGAGCCTCCGTGTAAATCTTTCACATTTTTTATATTAGCCCTAGTTTTGTTGAAGTTGAGTTTAGATTTTGATTATGTTGTCATTTTGGTACTTTCTTGTTATTTTCATTACCCAGATATTTATATATTACTTCCGTTCTCCTTAGGCTAATGAAATCGAAGAAGTCTTACACATATAAAGCATACATAACCGTCAAAAAATGTCAATGTTAGCAATGCTTTGGAGTTATACTTGTCGTGATATTCATGTATATTTAACATATGACCGTGTAAAAGTGAAGACAGCAGCTATCTAAAGCAGTCCATTGTAAAATAGCTCAGAAGAGTGGTAGAAGGGCGACAACCCTCTGTTCGTTTAAAATGACTGGGAAAAAATCACCTTGCTACAGACAGATTTGCACTATCAATATCCTCAATTGATACCTACTTAGCCTCTGCAAGTTGTATTGATTTTAAAATCAGTAAATATCTATATGTCTACCATCGCTAAAAGTGGGCAATATGTATTAGAAATTGGTTAAATGTACCCGTCTTTCCCCTTAATCCGAATGTGATTTGATATTTCCAGTCTTGCCTTTCTACTACAATCCCACTCACAATTTTCTACGATACTTTTAAAGTTATATTTATATCTTGTTATTTCTATAATTCTATTTCTATCATTATAGAACATTAATTAAGTTACACTGTAATTATCAATATCAGTCAATTAGAGTTAGTATTATAAATACAAAATGTGCTGATAGCTGAGCTGATATTTCTATAGTTCCGTTCTTTAACACAAATTAAAGTTTTATGTATGATTTCATAATTATTTTTGTAAATAGGTGGTATTGCCATAAACAATTTACTATTTGTAACCTCTATACTTCCAAAATCGCCCTTTTCAACGTAATCATATAATTTTTCCTCCGTGTACAGTTTGGGCTATTCTCCTTTATTCAAATTTCTGATCATCGTTATGTTGACCCTTGTAATTGCAAATTGATAGTCAAGTATTTTGTCAGTACTCCTAGATGTTGTTGATCTTCATCTTCTGCTTCATCGATCTCACCTGCCATTTACATCTTGCTCAGGCCATACTCTTACATTCTCAAATGATTGCAAGGTTAACAACAGCCCCTTGAATATTGAATCAACGGCGGCATAATCTAAACTGACAGAACGCCTTCATTCTCAGATTATGAGAGCTCGTTTTCCAAAAACAAAACAAAAAAGTGAACGGCGTTTCAGTTATGAACTATACTGAAGTGTGTTTTTGTAAAAATATGTCCAAATCAAAGAAATTATTTCCGGGCAAAGAAATTCTTAACTCTCTGGTTGAAAATACCTTGACGGTAAGGTCTTCCAACAGACTACTGAAATACCAATGGGAACAATTTCTGTTTCATTTTTAAGTGACTTTCATGTTTTCACATGAGTCTGAATTTGTGGGAGAGCTGATAAAAATAATCATAATCCAATCAATTCAATCCAATCAAATTCAGTCAAACAAAGGGAAAGTATTAAGAAAAGAAATATTTACATGGAGACACGTGAAAAAGTACAAGAATCATAAGACCTGGTGCTTCAATGACGATATCCATTCATTCCAAGTAAATATTATCATTTTCACTAATGCAAACAAGACATTTAACACGTCCAGATTCAAATCGCACAAAAATAAAGAATATTTCTTGATGAGGTCAATATGACGACCGTAAATCGTCCCTATAATGTTCATCAACGTGTTTCTTTTGAAACCATGTGTTACGAGTTTGTCCGTCAGTTGACGAATTCTTGCACGAAAATCGTTATAATTGGAACAGGCCATTGAATACTGAATTAACTGTGACATGTTGAGGATGCTGGGATGTCTCAATCCAGAAAATCGTGATAATTTACAACAGGAAAATTGATATCATCACGCTTATCATATAGCTTGTTGGAAGCTGTCTTGTAGGAAAAGATCGAGTTTTGATGTAAGGCGTTATAATAATTCGTATTGCAAAGTTAACATTACACAATTATTGACTTTTTAAAGTTAATACGAGTATTGTCGACTTGAGAAAGTTAATATGCTGCAAGTCGAGGGGAATATCGCCCTTTCGAGTGTTTACAAAATATGATAACCTCGCGTCATGGAAATTCCCTTTTACCACTTTTAATAAATTGACGATAACCTCTTGTGCAGTTATTCGCCAAAAGACGATTTTCTCAGTCTTAGAATAAAACTGCATGTATGTAAATGATATTCAAGGGTTAGTTACGAGCCATTTTGACACCTACACGCAGGTCTTGGTGTGGCCAATATCAAGATGACCTTATGAACTCGATTGATGTTGCGATACTGGAATGCTTCTATATTAAATGATAATTATTAGCTTTTGTTATCACGATATATCAGTAAGTTGATCCCAAGTACCGTACATCTTTCAAAAGAAAGATAACTCTCGATCACTCCAGCTGCTAGTGTTAAGCAACAAATGTCAAATTTGCTTATATGACAAATATGACTAGGTCACTCATACAATATTTAGCATTTTATCAGTTGTAAGACTAGATTCGAAGAAAAAAAAACAGTATATTACCAAGACCATGGTAAGCAAGGATCATAATTCAACAGAAGTCAGTCGGCTTGTTAAAAAATATTCGATACGGTAGAGTTCATGAGTAGTGAAGACATTTTTGGAAAAGGGATATTGCTTTCCACAATTTACGCTCTGCGATGTTCTTGGATGGTCCTGCTGTTGATATAAAACAAGGAAAGGTTCCTTTCAATAGTTAAGCATCAAAAACTAGGGTGAAGTAGGAAAACGATGTAAACTTCTGCATCACTAAATTAATTAAAGAAATCAGAGACATTAGAACAGTCAGATGGGACGTATATGACCAGAGCATAACATTTTCGTTTAAAATTTAAACTAGAAACTTTCCAATACTGATACAACGCCGACATTGTCCCTCTTCGAAGCATGTTATGCGACAGTCACAGCTGGAAAATTTGCTCATGTGCAAATATATAACAAAGTTAACACGAAGAGTGACGAAAAGACCCGGTGGAATTTTCTTATATGGATATAGAGTTGTGTTATAAATTGATTCTGACACATACAGCAGATAACTTAGAAATCGTTATTTGTTTTTGGTAATTTTGAGGTTATCGTCAGTATATCAAGAATCATCATTTTAGACCCCTGTCCCAATTGTTCGATAGAATACAGCAAGAATATAATTTCATCACGGAACAGTGCTTCAATATATTGTCTTTCAAAAACAAGCTTTTCAATATTTGCTTTTAACGAATTAATCAAATCAATTTATCAAAAAATCAAGTGCTACACAAAAGGTCAAAATGGGTAGATCAGTGATTTTCTTTATTTCACTCTTTCCTGAATTTTGACTTTATTCTGTTATAGTTCAGATACTCACCATTCCGAAACCAAATAATAAACTCTGTTGCAATAAGTTTGATGTTAATCCATATAATGCCTTGACTAATTTGTTATGTCCACTCTCATGGTCTCATATTGGCTATTGTTACTGCTCTGTTCAGGACGAGGTGGTCATTTGCATTATAATTTTTAATATGCCTTTAGATATTTGTCACCGGTTCCTCATGTAAGTGACAATCTGCTCTTAAATATACATAACAATTGCCAAAAATTCAGATTAATTGTCTCTCTGCTCTTACTCTTACGAAACATTTTAAGGTTTACATGTAATCCTTTTGTTTATGGTTTCCCTAGTTTTGTCTTTCTCAGGTTTATATTTTTCTGTCAAGTTTGTAAGAATGTTGCTTTAAATTATCTGAAAATCAATATAAACCAAAAACCATCTTTGCGATTAAGAAAAGTTCCCTAAGGAGTTTCTAGGTCACGGAATAATTATAAAAGATAAGAAAAAACGGCGAAAAATCGAACTAAACATATTGGAAAAACAAAATCCAAAGAGTTTGTTGTGTTATGGTTATGTAACAGACTTTAGACTTTAAAAGAAGCAGAGAAAACGACGACATGACAACAAACTCTCCGTTCAAACTCCAGTTTGATGAAACCAGGCCAAAATATGACCAAAAAAAGGACATGGAGCTGTTTTAAGTTGAACCAGTGTAATTCATGTAAAGTTTGAAAGAAATTTAATCTCATTGAGACAGATGCAAACTATTCATGATAACCCAGTTCATGATATATCAAAGAAAAAGGACATTCCAACCATAGCATAACAAATACAACGAATTTATTAACATTATCATTATCTTCAATACTGATGTACTTAATATAATGAAAGGACGAATTAGTATGCATTTCTCCATGTCTGTGTAGTTTGGCAAGTTATATTTTACCACAGGGAGTAGTTGTATGTTATCTACTTGCATTGTTGGACGAATTTGTTACTGAGGCATGTTGTCCGAAGTTTTGACTTCAGTGTCCTCATCACTATCGGAATCTTCCTCCTCACTACTCTCACTAAGATTACCATCCATTGAATTGGGAAAAGTCTCCGTTACTTGTTCGGCTGTATAACAGTTGTTACTTTCATTTGCTGAAGGCAACGTCTTAACATCTAGATCAGCCTTATAAAAGTTGATGGCAGGTTCAGCTTTTGTCTTAATGATAGCATAAGCGCTTTCAGTTTCATATATGATACCGTCAAACTCCCTGTCTGTTCGAATATTAGTTGCCATGGAAATATTGCCCTTGGTATCCATGTCAACTCGGTAATGAGGATCCTCTATATCAATACTGATGCCACTCTCGTCTGCCGTGTAAGCACCCTCATCGACATCTGCATCAAATGATCTGTTTGAACATTCAAAGGTATCTGTGTCTTCCTGCACGTGAAAAGAAAGTCACATGAGTTCGTCCTCTAACAAACACTGGTGCGCACAAACGGACAAACAAAATGGAGATGAGAGTCGACAGGGTGCGGATCCAGAACGAGGAAAGCATACAAGATACGAGAGGCAGAGACAAGCAGAGTCACAATGGCTAGAGGTTCTTCTACCGAACTTTCTAATCATCTACCGGGAGTGTTCAGTCTACACTTCTACGTCATCAGTCGAGGATATATTTGCAAGAACGTCGTTGAGTACAATACGTCTTTGACGTCAAATAGAGACTTAATTTTACTTTAATTCGCGTAAACAACACATAAAACTAGAAAAACATAGAAACACATCAATCAGTAGGGTCTGATTACATTTTGTACATCGTTGAAGTTTAACAGAAGGTCAAGGTTCACCACGCGATCAAACACAACACACCATTACAACAAATATGTTACTAATATACGGGTTACTTTGATTTCGTTACCGTAAACCTTTCGTAAAATGTCATGGAAGAGTTGATATTGTCGTTGACTATTTGTGCGAGAATGAATACGAGATCAAATGGATGTACTATCCTTTTGATCGAGGAGGGGTTTCGTCACCACAACGATGTCCTTTTGCCCTAATACCTTTACATAGAACATTCCCTCGCGCTGTTTTGACATCTCCTCCTTTGCAATTTTAGCCACACGACAGCTGAGGACGGTGGATATGAGACACACTAGACATTCCGTTCCTGCCGCTCCTAAGGCCACCAGAATAAGCATGTCCTTTACCGCCTTCTGTATCGTCTCCCCGTCTGTTGTGTGGTTTACGAGTCCCAGTCTCAGAAGCTGAATGCTGACGACAGCCGTTACCATGGACACGACATTAAATGCCGTAAAACACATTATCTGAAATCAGACATTTCATGTTGTTTTATATTTCAGAGAAATGTGCACTCACATGACTAGAGGTAATAAAAAATAGATTAGTTTAATCTGTTGTAACCTACGGGTGATTGCGTGTCTGAGCGTGTCTGGTTTCATATTGTAACAGGAAAATTGATTTTAAAGCTTTGAAAACATCAGCTAAACATTTTACTAAAACAAGCTGATTTGTCTTAGGGACGGATGATTAGGCTATGTATGTTGTAACCAGTAGTTCTTAGATCGATAGACAAAGGACGGAGGTGCGGCGCGGTAAAGATTTTTGCTTCTAAAACCTAATCCCGGCAGTCGATATGTTGTGTTTGCGTCCAATTAGGCCTAGCATGGGTGGTTTGAGCCTGATCGTTCTCATAGAAAGTAATGTCGGACTATACATGAAAATTGGCTGGAAATCAGGGATATATGTATTACAAATTGTACGGTAATGGTAGGATTTCTGTCCGTTTTATTCTAATAAACATTATACTTGATTATCAATGCATTTACTGTTTTAGAACTAATTGATTAAATATTTCTATAGTTTATGTGTAATTCGCCTTTACCTGAATAAATCATTCTTTAATCGTCTTTTTTTATTTATTTATTTATTTATTTTTTTTTTTTTTAAATCAAAAACGGTTTTTAACGATCTAACAAATATTATTGACTTTCTAAAGAATACCAACCTTTGTCCGAAATTCAGAGTCTGCATCGACTTCTACGTTGCGAATTACATGATGTACAAGTACATATTGTCATTTGATTTGACATGTTACGATAAAAGAACAAGTGAATGCTTACCACATATGATGATTTTCTTCTGGCGCACACCACGCCAACGATCCCCGTTATGATAAACTACAAAAATAAATACATCAGCTCACTGCATTTCTAACGCTGGAAAGCGTACATAAAGGTTTATTTATATTGTCGTTACACAGTGCTAAACCTACTTAACAAAAGCCACTAAAGCGAAAAGCACCATTTTGATACAAATTTCCATAAGATAAGCTGTTTCGTCCTTCTAGTACTCGTTAGTGATGCTAAGAACCTAAATATTAAGTCTAGGAGATGAATAAGGAAAATCTAAAGTGATCGAACAAAATGTTAAAATCTATACAGGGAGGTGCACTAACCCCATAATTAAGTAATTGTTGTAAATTACGTAATTTTAATATCTCTGACAATTTTAGAAGAACGTCGAGTACATGTGTATATATTTAACGGTTCCACTATTCTAATTAATCAAAACGTGATATGAGGATTACAGCAAACATTGGGGATTTAAAGCCCATTCCTTTATATTGGCTTATACAATGTAATTGTTTTGAGCGCAAAACTCTAAAAAAAAGTCTGATATGAACGAACAAAAAACTCATACAGCAGGATTAACTATTGGTCATGAATTAGAGGTTCTAATCAAACTCGAGTGTCGAATGATTCACTAGGACTTGAATTACTTACTTACAATCAACGAGCTAACAATGCAACATTGGTGATACAGGTATTCTAAGGGATATTAATCAACCTTTGCATGACCTCAGTATATTGATAATCCTTGTTAACAGCAAAATGGCCTTAGGAACGTCAATTAGCGTCGTCTATTTATAGTACTTCTATATAATGGTAACGCTGACATTATCAACAAGTACTTCTATATAATGGTAACGCTGACATTATCAACAAATCATTTGGTACTTCATTAACATGGTACTCAATAGATATCATATACATAGGTATACCACTAACAGAATTGATTTCTACGTCTCGTCAGATATTTCGTAGTTGTTATCCGAGAAACTGATTTTAAACATTATACTAACTGAAACACACTCCATTGCAGAACAAACCTTCTCGGCTGTTTTCAATAATGTATGGAAGTAGGTACATTTGTTTTTAACAGTTATTTATCAACTAACTTTGTAACTTACTGAACATTTGTAACTTACTGAACACATCAATTACTTAATTAATGAACAAAATATTTTCTTTCTTATCTAAACAAAGGTAAAATCATACTTACGAATCCTCCACTCCAAATCGGTGAAACTCTGTGTGCCAGCCATACTTCTGACTTAATAGAGGATATAACACCCAAACAAACACTCAGCAGACCTAGTAGAACATGGAAACCGGATGTGGCGTAAACGAGAATTATGACAAGATGCATCGTGGTAGGTGTTCGATATGGTTCGCTTTTTCTTACTGGATCCTTATATCATCTGAAAAATAAAATTTGAAACAAAAGCAGTGAATATAAATAAATGTTGTTAATAGTTGCGTGTATATTCCTATTAATTTTATCTTTGTGAACGTAAAACAATAATCATGTTCCGTATTTTATCAAGTACGCAAACTTAAAGAATAATATATTATTAATATTATTCTACTTACGGTGGGTGTACCCGCGGAATATCTTAATAAATAGCTAAAAATCTGAGGAATGGTTGAAATAAAATTCACAGACAAGTATTCGCGTACAACACATGAGTTCAATTCATTATAACCATAACTGAAACACTTTATGAAACACATGATGATCCCTCAACGTCAGCGACGCTAGGAAAGTGGAAATAGAGATAGTTTCTAAACATACACGTACAGAAATTCAAATTTCCAGAAGATACACAAGCCAATTAATTCAATTATAAGTAAAAAGTGTCAATTACGTTACCAATGGTGAGAAAATGTGCTTGCATGTTTACAATGTCTGGTGAGCATGTCATGTTCTAACATCGGTACTGACGCTGTATATGATACTATCAATATTAATTAACAATACCGTTGTTACTTCGTTGGTACAAATGGAGCTCGCTCTCTCTGTCTCTGTCTGGTCATATATGTTACAGAGCTTGAATAAATGTCATCGAAGCTTACGTCCGTATCTATAAGAACATCAATACAAAAGGATGTGTGGGAGTAATGCTTTGATAAGAAACGGTTCGACAACGTTATTAAAAACAGCTTTATTTCTGGTATAAAACATGGGGTTTCGCCGTGAGAAGATATCGTATGATAAAAACAATAGAGAATTCTCCGTGATATCGTGTGATGGTTAAATTAAATCAAAATTAAAATATATGACATCAAACCAGAAAAAAACAAAACAAACAAACATCAATGACAACAGCACACGGAAGAGAGAAATGTGTCCTTGCATGGTAGTCGTGATAAATCAATATCTGATCACGTCAAAACCACCAAATGTCAAAGATCGAGCTCGAGATTTAGTCATGACTCTGATACAGCGATGTAGATATTTATATACTGAAATTAATTAATGTCCGGTTGACGTCATCACTTTACGTCTGTTTTAAAGAGCACCTGCCTTTTAGATTTTCATTATTATTGAGGTGTTATTCAAGAAGTAATTACAACGTGTTGTCACATAATACCGAGTGTATTTTCTCTATCCTTTTTATCTTCTCCATCAAAAACCAGGATGATCAATAAGTCATTATCCGGACATGCGTTTCGTTGGTATATATTTGTATATCTAGAATGACGTATAACATGACCAAAGTATGGTATCCCTAAACACTTTTTTTAAATTTTCACATTAATTGATTCTTCGTTATTTTGAGAGTATTGGGGAGTACAATGTAGTACAATGTATGTCTAGTTTCTTTGATAATGAAAACATGCCCCGTAATCTGAGGTCTCTAGCAAAATAGACGGATCTATGTTACTTACCTATTACTGAGGATTCTGGTGAGGTCTGCATTGTGTATATGTATATATAGAATTTTCATTTCATATTATATCTTATAAAAGGAGTCTTACAGGATTTTATTTTACGAATCTTGGGGAGCATTAATTTAAACTTCGAGACAATTATAATAAAATCTAAAAGAAAAACAAATATTTTAAATAAAACATACACTTTTTATCACATAACTCAGGAAAGTTACATTTGATAAATTTTAAAGTAAACATTTGAAGGCACCTGTTTTGATGCGCTATTTTCCATTCATGATGTGACGGGATTATCCATATCATGACATCACATTTGGCTTCTAAGTGACACAGCCAATGAAAAACGCTCTGGGGTATGTTATGATTGTTATGCATAGGGAAAATATTACGAATCCTGTGGATAACAGATATGTGATGTGTGGTGATCTGTCTTATCTCGTTTTGTTTATTTCGCTAACAGAATAAAGCGAGCCGAGCATGACACGTAACTATTACAACAATTCAGTGCTGATACTACGCAAATTAACCTGTAGTAAGCAACCAATAGAGAACCTCGTCAATTGGCCTTTACTAATCTAACAGGTTACCCCGAAAAAAATAAAAAATGTAGTTGTTGGATGTCGTGACAAAGTAATGATACGTCTTCTGTGTATGTTTATAACTTTCCAGTTCCTTCAGTAATAAGGAGTTTGATATCTCTTTAAAACGGCAATCACAGAGTAACAAAGGTTGGGACGACCAAACCGAAAAGACAGACATCCTCACTCTGGCACGATGCACTCGATGACCGTAAACTTTTTCTATACCACTAGTGTGTCAGTGGTGATAACAGCTCCTCTCAGATTCATACAATTATTACGTCATACTTAGACAGTACATGCGATGTGATTCAAAATTGGAAATTAATCAATTATATTTGTTTGTCCAACGACCAATCCCCATAATAAGCCCATATAGGGTCAACAAGTAGTGCGGTTGTGATCAAGTAAGGCAAATATACAGAAAGGGCTTTTAAGAGAAGAAAACTATACAGTTTTCTTGGGACTGTTCTAGCCTGTAAAAGGATAGAACAATACAAACCATAAAACCACAATCTATAGAGGGAGGGAATTCTAAAGTACTTTCGTACGATACTGAAACTATACTTGAAAAACTGATAACGTAGATTCTACAAAATTTATATGTTTAAATATAATTTTCTAATGCTTTTTTATATTCAAGACAAATAAAGAACTTGAAAGTGTGTACCAAACAACTGGTACAATCGTTTTCCTTATTTCCCTCAGCAACGAAACTATACCAACGGGATATTCCTTCAATGGAGAAAGTAAGGTGACGTGTATTTACTATGATAATGTACCAAACAAACAAGAAATTTCATCATTAACTACTGGTAACACATTCCCTGTGAAGAAAAGGTTTTAGTACTATCAATAGATCGATTACACAAATTCACCCAGTAATGATAAAAATGTATCCTGTTTCTGATTATGCCATTCAACTTAGATATCCTTCTAATTATTACTATCAAAAATACTATCATACCGGTTAATAAGTATATATTAACAGTCAACGGATACTGTAAAACACAGCTTATCCTGCCAGGAATGCCAATGATACTTAAAACCAGAACATCTTGCATTTTACTCACCTTTCTGCTGTGGACATGATCCTGTGATGTGGTGCCGCATCATAATAGTACAGGAATGTCGGGGAGCAAAGATTCCGCCATCTTGTCTTGTCCGATATTCACATGTCTTTGAGGCTGACTGTGAGCAGTACCAGAGGTATGTTGACGAACGGCGTATGAACACGGATCCAACAAAATCTTGTCGTCTATGCACGTTTCACCTAACGATCGATAACGTTCTTAATCAAATGAAAGCAACTGAAAGCAACAGGACATTCAATAGCAGCGAGTTTCCCGCAACAAAACGCCCGGATCGATTCCACTGATCCAGTCACACAGGAGCGTAATATTCATGGATTGGTCCGACGTCTGTCGCTGTCGTCTCGCTGGGCACTTATTTTCGTCCATATAACAGTCTACATGCAAATCCGAGATTTACCACTTTGACTGATAACACAAAAACATGGTCTCTAAACATAGAGGGTTTCGATTGGTGCCTAGCTACAAAGGCTGAATATGACCTATATATACCGCCAAGATGGTGGGACTCCCCAAACGTGAAATGCACCGAATAAATAATTCACGAGAAGGATCGATCAAGCTTTCGACTGTATATCATAGCAAACAATTTATTTAAGTAGTTTGTATGTCAGATAAATAGGTCCAACAATTTAATCAATAAATTAGTTGTATTGCTTACGGGTCGGCGTTTCATAAAAATATCCAAAACCAATTGATCCCGGCAATGCAATCAATACTGCTACCGTAGCTTAAAAATATGACGTATGGGTGAGCTTTGTTGAACAGTGATAGAAAATGACTTAAAAAACACAGATCGTATTTCTAGAAAAGAAAGAACAGTATATGTTAGCAATATCACAATTTCATTTACCGCATGTCCATAGCTGACAGACTCTCAACGGGTTTCAATAGATGCTGGTTGATGAAGATCATTGAGAGGTTTTACGGTTCTTTCAATAATCTCATTGGGAAACATTCTAGCTCATTGTGCGATATGAAGTTGGATATGTCTGATGCCCATAAGTATGTCTGGTGCTTCCGCCGTCGCTTACCTGGTTCTTGTCTTGGAAAGTGACAATACTGACTTGATTTGATCAAATATTTACATTTCTACTTTTTCGGGTGTCTCCGTGTAAATTTTTCTTTCATTCATATTTGAATAAAGATTCTATAACATGTCGATGTTTTTCTTTATTCTTCCTACAGACTATTGGTCATTGACCATGGAAACAAATAATTATGTAATGATATTATTTCTAACGAGGCTGAATTATAGAAGTGTTGTTTTTTTTAATGGCTGAAAGATCTTGCCAAGATATTTTCTTACATTATTTTATATATATATATATTGATGACTTCTTCTTTTTAGATAAAAAGAAATGTATGGACAATGGCCATCGTCTACATCACAAAAATCAGAAATTGGACATGGCGGATTCTTCTTAATCAGCGATGATCTTAATCTTTTCCTGCAGCGAAACTAACCGTGATAGTAGTCCCGTTTCAGAAAAACGGTACTGGAAGCCAGATCTAAGTATGGAACCAGATTCTAGTTCTGTTTAAGAAAAGTTTGTGTGCTCGCCAAACGAATAGTCCAATGCGCATGATCATATCTTAATTCGGGTCAGGAATCGTAGCATACACAACAAAGGAGATATGCAGGTCGCTGAAAACTATTGGAAGCGTAAGTAAATTGTTTTACTGGTATCAAACAGTCCCAGTAGTCCTAGGAAAACAAAGGAAGCTCAAATTTTTTTACAATCACTGGAGTATTTAATACCTGTAGCCATACAAAACAAAGGTCTTCTTGTATATACAAAGCAGTTGTTTGATAATAAATTCACCTGTAGCCATACACAACAAAGGACCAATCAAACTACTGACCAATCAGTCCTGAAGTCCACTAATCCTGTAGCCATACACAACAAAGGACCAGTCAAACTACTGACCAATCAGTCCTGAAGTCCACTAATCCTGTAGCCATACACAACAAAGGACCAATCAAACTACTGACCAATCAGTCCTGAAGTCCACTAATCCTGTAGCCATACACAACAAAGGACCAGTCAAACTACTGACCAATCAGTCCTGAAGTCCACTAATCCTGTAGCCATACACAACAAAGGACCAGTCAAACTACCGACCAATCAGTCCTGAAGTCCACTAATCCTGTAGCCATACACAACAAAGGACCAGTCAAACTACTGACCAATCAGTCCTGAAGTCCACTAATCCTGTAGCCATACACAACAAAGGACCAGTCAAACTACCGACCAATCAGTCCTGAAGTCCACTAATCCTGTAGCCATACACAACAAAGGACCAATCAAACTACTGACCAATCAGTCCTGAAGTCCACTAATCCTGTAGCCATACACAACAAAGGACCAATCAAACTACTGACCAATCAGTCCTGAAGTCCACTAATCCTGTAGCCATACACAACAAAGGACCAATCAAACTACTGACCAATCAGTCCTGAAGTCCACTAATCCTGTAGCCATACACAACAAAGGACCAATCAGTCCTGAGGTCCACTAATCCTGTAGCCATACACAACAAAGGACCAATCAAACTACTGACCAATCAGTCCTGAAGTCCACTAATCCTGTAGCCATACACAACAAAGGACCAATCAAACTACTGACCAATCAGTCCTGAAGTCCACTAATCCTGTAGCCATACACAACAAAGGACCAATCAAACTACTGACCAATCAGTCCTGAAGTCCACTAATCCTGTAGCCATACACAACAAAGGACCAGTCAAACTACTGACCAATCAGTCCTGAAGTCCACTAATCCTGTAGCCATACACAACAAAGGACCAATCAAACTACTGACCAATCAGTCCTGAAGTCCACTAATCCTGTAGCCATACACAACAAAGGACCAATCAAACTACTGACCAATCAGTCCTGAAGTCCACTAATCCTGTAGCCATACACAACAAAGGACCAATCAAACTACTGACCAATCAGTCCTGAAGTCCACTAATCCTGTAGCCATACACAACAAAGGACCAATCAAACTACTGACCAATCAGTCCTGAAGTCCACTAATCCTGTAGCCATACACAACAAAGGACCAATCAAACTACTGACCAATCAGTCCTGAAGTCCACTAATCCTGTAGCCATACACAACAAAGGACCAATCAAACTACTGACCAATCAGTCCTGAAGTCCACTAATCCTGTAGCCATACACAACAAAGGACCAATCAAACTACTGACCAATCAGTCCTGAAGTCCACTAATCCTGTAGCCATACACAACAAGTGCACTGGCAATACTGTGGTTCCTGACTTTCTACAACTCGTCAAAAACGCTGCAAAATGTTAAGTGACAACACATCAATCTACTTTGGTACATAACAAAGAGGGAGACCGAGATTTAAATGGACAGAAGATTGGCAATGGAAATTCAGGCCTGACAAGTGCAAACATCATTATTTAGGTTTGTCAAAATGTGGTCAAAATCAGAGTCGGGAATGCTGATATAGCGAAAACAACTGTGGAAATGGAACTAAGAATAAAACCATTGGTATACCAATCGGTACCCTCGGGGAAAACTAATTCCACTCCCCTTACATACAAATCCAACCTAAACAGGCTGCGAAAACTAGGTTTTCTTACTAGTGAGGTGTAGACGATACGCTCTGTGGTATATGATAATGTAATTAAAATGCTGCAGGTTATGTAGTTGAGCATGCGAAAACACAGCTTCTCACTTAAAGTTACCAATAATCAAAGCAAACTTATCAGTGAAGAAAATGCCAATCAATTTAAGAACAGACTGATTTTCATGTCGAAAGGATTGTGATCTTCTAATCTGATAGGTCAGTTTCTGAAAGGCTTCAAGTTTATTGAGACCTCGGTTATATGTAACTGGTGTTAAGACAAGATATGTTTATCAAACACAAAACATGTAAAGGAGCTATTTTAACCTAGATATGCACTACTGAGATATAAACACTAGAATTATTGCATTTCTACCTAAATGAACCTCATTGGTGATACAACTATTTTAACAAAACACTCTAACTATTCCAGATAACATTCTTCGATATTAGTCACTTTATGACAAAAAAAGTCAATTTCCAACATTACAGAAAGGACATAAAGCATATCAACAACTGAACACTATCAATCGGATGGGACTTAAAATGGTGTTCTCTAAGACGTACAGTATATTATCGAAGAAAGATTGACATGCCGGCGCAGAATGAAGATTGTACAAAACACATCTAACTAAATATCACCTTTTAATACGAACTTAGAATTATATGCAAGTAGAGTAAAACAATGAATTAGCCTGCACCATACATCTATTTCGTCCTAGAACTCGTCAGTGATGCTAAGGGCCTAAATCTTCAGACCCAAGAGGCGACTGTGGAAAGGTGACCGAAAGAAATTTTGCATGCACTAACTCCATAATTCGCTAAATTTCGTCCCTTAAGTGCATTCGTTGCACCTGACAGTTTCTCGTGGTAGAAATAATAGATAGACCGTTGAATTGGGAATTTGTGCATTGTCCGAATGCTGATTTGTATATGATGACTGGTACTGTTTATTATCATTATTCATTAAACCATTTCATTATATATATATATATATAATTTTACACCGGTTTATAGATCTGTAGTTTTATTAACTGCAAAGAAAATGTAGAAATAATATTTTCAGTAATAAGAAATAAGCATAACCGATATCGTTTATGGTTTTGGTGATAATATGCCAAACTTGATAGATTACTTGATAAATAGTAGCACCAAAGTGGACGATTGTACCGCAGTTTACTTTGTGATTTACATGTAGACAAAACTAATAAAGAAATATTTCAGTGTATTCACTTATTAAGTTGTTTAAATATTTCTTTATATGTCACTTAAACATCACTACAGAACTACATAAGATTAACTTTATGTAAAAAGCTATTAGTATTAAAGAAACTTTATAAGATACAATGAAATACCTCAGCAGGAGGTGAAACAACAAAGTTAATATAATTTCTTTTTTAAATTCGAAACAAACGTATCAGATACATGCATCATAAACCCGTATCAAAAATACCATTTACCATTTATAGTACATGTAACCATTATGTAGGTAAAACAGATTAAAACTTAAAACTGAAACACGGGAGATCATAGTATAGTAGAAAAACAATGCTAAAACAAAGACTGAAACACAGGAGTTCATAGGACAGTAGGTAGACAATGACTAATACAAAGATTTGAATATAGAAATACGACAGCGGAAAGCTACGAAAGCCTAGAAAGGTCAAATTTCGAAGGGGAAAAAATATAAATTCGAGTTATTACGCGAATAAAAGCGTAATATAAAGGCGTTATTAAGGCTTTTGGAAGGCGTTATTACGACTTTTTTCGCGTTATTACGACTTTGGAAAGGCATTATTACGGGTTTTTTTCCGTTCGAAATTGGACCTTTCTAGGCTTTCGTAGAAAGCAGACAAACAATGTCTAAAGAAAAAATTTTAATATAGAAGAGATGGAGGCCAGCTGATAAATGATACCTAAAAATATTGAAAAAAGGAAGATGGAAGGCAGCAGATAAACAGTGTTATGGTCATCAATATAGCTCCATAGGAGTTAGTTTTGTGTGTGTGTGTGTGGGGGGGGGGGGGGGTTCGTGTTCACCGCCCAAGTTCGGTACTTGTTATATTTCATATTTCTAAAATGAATACTTGCAACAAATAAAATGTTATCTGTCAAGTCTAATTGTAGAGAGGGACCATTCATCGCAACATAAACGTGTTTAATTTATTCATTTATTTTTATCTAGTTACGTGTTTTTAGTTCCGGATTGATTCCATATTCCGGTTATTGGTTCTGTTGGCATATTACTCAAATGTACTTCCGGTAAAATTACTAGATCTCAGATCAAAAGTCATAATTTTAGGGATAATTTTATACATATTTTTCTGGTTTGAGGTCGTCACTGAAAGGAATGAAATCTATGTTTAAAGGGACAAACTTTTCCACTTGTGACAATCTAGAACGGTCTAATGATAATACATAAACCGTTTTTTCTACCGTTGTGTGCTGTGTTGCGGTGACGGTAATTTCGACATTGTAATTTGCAGTTTTGACTGGGGATCTATGGCTGTGGTTGATGTATTTGTTGGTAACTTCACTGTCATTGATACAGACTTGTATGAGCTTTGGCTGACCGGCTATTCAGGTAAATGCATTCATTTGAATCGCGGCTTTGTAAAGTGTAAAGCAATACATTAATTGCAGGATGATCCCTTTATATATCTTCTTTTTCGTGGGGGCAAGCTGGTGGGGAATGTTAGGCATATTCATGATATTCTGGACCATCATATTTCATGCTATAGAGCAAACATACATATTTCTTAAATTATTTTCAGATTTTGTGCTCATTCAAATATAAACCCATGTACTTTCCATAGACAATAAACTGTTTGAGAGGGTTACTGCTACAGCTTGCATCGTTCATCACATGATATGAACTTAGAGATTGTTGTATGGTTTCTTTTTCTCAATTTTTAATTAACGTTTTGATATGTGTCTATTGAGAAGTTTCCCTAAATTTGCTTTAGGTGTTGCTATTTATCAATACAGGTGAAAGAAGAAATCACTGAATATATTTCTTTTGAACATTTGTGTCTTTTTTGTTTTCTAGCACATGATGCATCTGCAGTACTACAGAAGCGAGGTGTGCTACACAACATGGGGGTCAGTTTCCAGGATCTTGTATCTGATACACACGATAACTACCGTCTTTTTATAAACCTGGAAAAACTGCTGAAGGACCCAACAAAACTAACAGAGCAACACCTATATCAACTTGATTCACAGACACAGAAACTCCTTATAGAAAGGTCTTCACTAATTATGTGAAATTAATAACAAATATCTTGTCTGTACTTTTTTTTAATCTATGTACAATATACTGTATGAAGTAAAATAGCATTTAGGTTGATATTTTCCCTATCTTACCCAAAGTATATCTTTGGTGGCATTTGTATTTAAAATAATAGTCAGTTACCTAAAAATGCACATTTGAGGACAAAATAAGTTCTTTAAATCATATATTTGCTATCATAAAACAAAGTAAAACCAATGCTATAATCAGAAGTATATGCGGGGTGAAATTGTTTAAACGTGACCTGGGATTTTTCATTACAGATATTACCAGTTTGATGCAGCAGTGGTTAGAGAGGTCCTTGGAAAGAAGCTTTCATCAAGGAACAGGAAAGATCTTGATGAAGTGTGTGAGAAGACTAGAGTGCCCCTCAGATCATGTAGGCGTCAGGTAGGTCATGGCAGCTCATATTTTATTACACTAAACAGTCGTAGCAGTACTTGGATCCATCTTGGGTGCAATTAATCCAACTACTGAAATGGCATGGAGTGATCTTTGGGAATCAGATATTTGAGTCCTGAACTCATACTTTTCTTGTGAGACTCGCTCAAATTATGAGAACCCATTATATCTCTTAGTATTGGGACTCGTCAAAATTTTGAAATTGGTAATCTGTACTAACCTGAAGAAAATCACTGGGCATAAGTTGTGAAGTTAGTCATTGACTTACAGGAATTTGAGTTTTGATTTAGGTTTGAAGATACTACAATGTATCAACATAGTAAATTTGAGATAAATGAATATATGATCTATGTGTTTATACATAAATTGACAAATTGGTTTACAGTAATTGCAATTGGAATAGTAGAAACTCATTCTGCATAATCAAGGGGAAAAGTTACTTCATATCAATAAAAATGATTTAGAAAGAGTAACATTTTGATGAACATTGAATGCATATTTTTATAAACTCTCAATTTTTAAAGAAGATACACAGTTATGATATCTATGAGGTAAAATCAATATCATCTTTCACTTATTTTTGCAATTTTAGTTTGACAACTTGAAGAGGGTGTTTAAGACTGTAGAGGACCTGACAGGATCACTGGTAGAAAACATACAGACACACTATCTTGTCTCTGAGGTACTGGCAAAGTAAGTCATTTGCACTATTACATCTGAGCATCATCATAATCTTAAGTTTCAGTAGCTACTAATAGATGAAATTTGGTTCAAAATATATACCAAGAGATAATACCCATATGTACATGTGTACAGATAGGAATGTATGGTCACATTCTGATGATCTATAGAACACCAAAAGAATGATCAGTGCAAGAACAATATTTTTTGCAAAATTAAATATCAGTTGAAAAAGATGTGAAGTTTAATGCAACAGTATAAACTTTATAAAAGTCATATGTGATTGTGTTATGAATGTGATTTAGGTAATAAAATAATTTTAAAAGATATATATATATATACCTGGTATATATTCTTAAAGAGTTTCAGCCATCATCAGTTTGCAAAAGCACAAAAAGGTGTGACTTCATTATAAGTCTTTAATTTCATAAACTCTCAGCTGACACTTCAGCCTATCTAAGATAAATCATGACTCCTACAAAATTGATTGAATCAAAATCAATATGATATTTCGGAATAATGTTTAAGGACTGATTGTATTTTGGATTTTCTGTTAAAGTGCCAGTGTGAAAATATCTATTTCTGAAAAACTCATACAGATTTCCAACAAAATTATTTTATATGAACCATTGAAAAAGAAGACATATATTTACTGTCATGGATCTTTGTTAAGAATTCTTCTTCCTGTATGATATTGTCATAAATGTTTTCATAATTTATCATTTTACTGTACACTTTTGAAGCTGAGTTTGAGTAAACAGAATAATTTACAAAGATGACGAGGAATGTTATTTAACTTTGAATAACTAAATTGATTATCTTTCAGGGAATATGCTGCCATTGTGTTCATAGCCAACAATCGATTTGAGACAGGAAAGAAAAAATTAAGTCATCTCACCTTCTATGATTTTGTGTACTGTGCTACATCTATGATGGCTAATTGGTCCTACACAGCCAAAGGTAAGCATGAACTTTTATACAATGTATAAGTGATGTCAGTCTATTATTTACAGTGAACCCTTACTAGCAGGTTAGAATTAATTATGAACAGGACCAGTATCATTAACAGTGAACCCATACTAGCAGGATATTATTAATTATTAAACAGGACCAGTGTCATTTACAGTGAATCCTGTTTACACAGGATCAATATTCTTTACAGGGAACCCTGTGAATTACAGTGAAGCCTGTGTAAACAGGACTAATGTGATTTAAAGTTGACACTGTTTAATCAGTTTTTATGTTTGGAATTGGGCAGTGCTTTGGTATATACAGATGCAATGATTCTGAGCAGTTTGTGTGTATTTGTATTATCGATGTATTTCTGTACAGATTCTTCAGGACATGAAGATATAGATGTTGATCTTGACCGAAGATTCCTCCAGGACTTGCGAGAGTTCAAGCTCCTTCTGGATAAGGAAAGCTTAGATGAACATAAGAGGTGATATTATCATTTATTGTTATCATTCATCAATTGCAATAGCGATTTGATAATAAATAATTCATCTAGAATAAGCCAATGTAAGGAACATTTCAATCAGTAATGTATACACGCATATGATAACATAAAACACAATATGTTAACCTAGTAGTCCACTCATCTGATACTAACTACTGATTCTATGACATCTTTCTAAATACCCCCACTCATGTGAGCTAGAATTGTTTTAGTGTGTTGCTTGAAAATGGAGTCATTAATATATCAACATACAGTTATGGGTTTGCAAACCAAAATGAAATAGAGTTCACATTTTAGGAGCTGTTTTGAAGGTTTGAAAAAATTGTGCAGTTTCAGAGAAAAATAATTCTTTTGTATTTTCAGTTTGGTTTTAAATGCAACAAAAGGTTCACTTCCAAAGAAAATACATCAAGATTTAGATGATAATTTTAAGGTAAGAAAGTATAATTGGTATATTACCTTATATAAGCAAGTGATTGGCAATTCTACAGTTGTTATTCAGGCAAAAACAAGAGATTGTTCCAATGGTGAATTACAATTCCTGAGAGAAGTCAGTATGCACAAAAAGCAAAAGATCTGGACCATATTAAAGTTTTGTATTGCTGTGACAATATCTCATTTATGTTATTTAGGCTACTCAAGAGTAACTGACCTGTGCTCAACCTAGAGGTTACTTCAGTAAATTGATTATCTCTGTGCGATTTTTTTCTGTACATTGTGTATTAACTCACTATAGAAACTCAATTACAATCAATCTTCTCAAAATATTCTGTAAACTGATAGTTATACATCAGTAAAATTTCTATTTACTTTGTGGCAAACAATTATTTACTGACAAATTGTATTTCTTTACAGAACATGTCAAAAGCAATTGTAAATATTGCCTATGGATTAAATCACAGTAAAGAAGCTAGAGACATATTCATTGACTTGGTAGAAAAGGTAAAGTGGCTCAATCTATTTTGTTTCTTTATAATGTATGACTGTATTCTATAGTGTTTAAGATATACAGCATTGTGCTTCTTAGTGTATAAGCAGTAAAACTGATTCTACATGATTTATTCAATTTTATTAGAAATATACAGAAATTCATAGAAAAGCTTATTATTTATTAAATGTTGTATGTAAAATGGTGTGGTAACAGTATTTTGTTTTAATTTACTCTACATTGCTGTGTTCCTTTTTCAGATCACTGAGCCATGTATGCAGGGACGCTGGCTGAAGGATGAGCTGAAAATTGTTTTGACAGCCTATAGGGATGTCTGTCCCCAGTTAGATGCTTTCCGTCATAGGTTAGCTTTGTGTGGTAGTTTTCAACAACGAAATGTCATCTTAGAACAATCCCTGCTATATTTTAGAATATAGTGGGAATTCCTAATAATTCAATATCTTTAATATTGCATTGATAAAGAGTACAATATATTAACGCTTGATGATTGATAAAATACAAATAGCAGGAACTTTTTGGAAAGCTAACTATTTATATTTGTAATAGGGTATATATTAATTATAATATAATGCTATTTGTGTAAGTACATACTCTATGCACGTATATTGTCTGGTGTGATAGATGGTGTGAATCTGTCTGTGTATGTGATATGTACTTACCTGTGTATGCATGTGAGTATGAAAGTTGTGATGACACCTGACTTGGGACGGGCTTTACGATTGGTCAGGACGGGTGGCTCAACTTACCTGTGTACAGGTGTTGGCCAGTTTGGGCACTCCGTTCCTGACCAGCACACAAAGCAGACATATTAACTTTTTATTGAGAGGTGGGAAATCATAAGACTTTTGACAGAATGCTGGAAATTCAGAATGTTGATTATAGAGGAAAAAAGTGAAGGAAACCTCCACACCATAGCTGTGGGTTTTTTCAATGGAAAGAACATATAAATGAATAAATGCGAATAAAACTACACCACGGATCTGGTTTCTGTTGGAACTGAGAACCCCGGTAACATATTTTTATGGGAAACTTTGACAGTAGTAATGTTGGAAAATTAATCCACAACTCCTGTCTTATCAATTTTCACTAGTCCCTCCTTTGAGTAAAAATAATGTTTTATAAAATGCTTTATAATTTATACAAGGCAATTGTACTATGATGAGACTGTGCAATGTAGTAGTATACATAATAGTATCAGGTTATCAGTTTTACCGGCAGGAAACAAAATAAGAAGATGTTATATTGTATCTTTTTCAGGAACCTGACAAGACAAAAAGCTGTGTGGGATAGGTATATGAACACTCTTACATCCTGTGTAGTGCAGATCTATCACAGCTGATAACGACACTGAATCATCGTAGAAGGATAAATTATTGAATTTAGGAGATCAGTTGTACATTGACAAGTCATCTGATTTCAAATTCTGTTCCCTAACCATGGTTGTGTAGAAGCACACATCATCAGATACACTGTGAGGTTGAAATGTGCAGACAGAAACAAAGGAAAATGATTAGAAATCAGACTATCAGATAGTGATATTGACTTGGTGGTCATGATCTCATTGAATAAATAAAGTTGTAAGTCAACAATGACTGACCACTTTCATGTAAAATCATGGTGTTATACAATACCATTAAGAAAAGCAGACTGATCTGTTATTTTCTATGGAAGGAATCATCATCAAAACTCATATGTTGCCATTTGATGTGCAGTAACATCTATGAAACAGATTAATTGCAAATTGTTTATTTTAGCCTGTGTTTTGATGCGAAGAAATGTTTTGATATAATGATTTCGATATTCTAGTCATAATATTGAAACCAGTATTTTTGTTTATTGAAAGTGCTGTAACTATTTCTTTAGCCTTTTCTTTTAAGAAAGCAGGAAAACGTTCATGATTATAGATAATTTTGATGTACTACCAACCCATCATTGTGTAGAAAATTTCGCCATTGTTAATATCTAATGTAGGCATTACATGTGATGCATATGTGAAGACAAGGTAATTACTTTGCTGATCTAACACATGGTTTGACAAGGATCTAATTTTCAGTCAACCATCATTAATTAGTAGGCTGTTTAAATTCCCCTTTGTCTGTGGTCAGTTATCCATCTGTCTTTAAGAATTTTTGTTATCGATATTTCTTGAGAAGTGCTGGATACTGTGGTAAATTATTTTTCAGTTTCATAAGGATGTAGATTTCACTTGGTCCAAAAACAAAATGGTTGACAGGTGGCCATCATGGATTATTTGACAGTTATAGTTAATTATCACTATTCGTTGAGAAATGTTCGTTCTTAAATTCCATATGTAGGTTCCTCTTGGATCATATATATTTGTTGTTTGATTTATGGACTGATCTTCAAAAATGATATAGTTATTTCTTCACAGGAATTTTGAATTACACATAATAAAAGAGCAAAATTTAAGAGAAAGGAGATCAACGTTTGAAGACCAAAACAGATCAAACAATGATGGGTGCCAAGATAATCGTGGGATCTTGTTTTAAAAAGAAAAATTCAGCAGGAGAGATATATATATATATATTTGTTTGTACTAATATTTGCTATCTTGTGACATACTTTATCTCCTGAAAGGAGGTAGAGCTTCAAATACAAAACATTAAACATTTTGTGAATGTAAACTTGGACATTGTTTATTCATTTGTGACAAAGCTGAATCAGAGACATATATAATATGTGTTATATATGTCTCTGGCTGAATGTACCTCAAAGCAAGTGTTTCTTTAATTTAGCTATCTATTCCTTTTCTAGTTACAAATATAAAGTGAAGTATGAGAGCTTTAGAAGCTGACAAAGAAAAAACTTCCCTTTTTACTGAAACATTGATGCAAATGTAAAGATGCAGTATGACTAGTGCAGTAGATGTAAGGTCTACTCTCAACTGTAGGTCTTCTATTTATGTCCTCATAACGGATCAAAACAGTAGATGATCTGATGAATTTAAGATCCCTGTTCAAGTCAGTATGAACAGCTTGTATTTAAACAGTGACACAGCCAGAAAATCACTATATATTGAAATATAAATGTATTAAGATGGTGAAGAACATTTCATAATTCCCGCTGACAAATGTGGTAGAAGGGAGGTAACTGCAATGCAAATTACTCTTCAATCGGAGGTAGAAAAAAAGTAAACACCAACACCGGCCTTCAATCATGTTATTGCCAAAACTTCGGTGTTTGTTCACCGTAGGAAGGTTGAATCCAGCGGTTACGGCATGCTACCACTCACAGAAGGGTGTCTACGGATACAAACCGTTAAAGAAACATGATTCGACCCGTAAGTATAATGCTGCGACTCGCCACAAAATTGGCGTTGTTTACACCTGATCAGCAACGTTTACCTACTCCATAGACACCTCATGGATTTTATTTGTCAGATTTAATTTCGTTTTTTTTCGACAGGATATCGTATTTACACTTGTCATCAATATGCATTTATTAGTCCGTGTCAAATATTTGTAGTGAAATTATCCATACAGCACACAATAGGATCAAGGTCAAGGTCATCGCTAATGATTGGACGATGGTGAGACACACCTCTCCTTTGGTTTCCATGAAAAATTGAGATAAACATTAATACATAGTTTGATTTGCCTGTATGAACGGCATTGTGATATAAATACACATCAAAAATAAACAAAGCAAGAAAACTAACAGAAAAGATAAAAAAAGTACTGGAAGGATATTTCGGAAACTTGATGTGTAAGTTCCCCTTGTTCCTAATTGTACCCATTGAATTTTGAGACTGATCAGAAAAACGTCATGGCCGATAGACGGCCATCTTAGATTTTGACAGTTGAGTTTGTTATCGCTATCTCTTGAGAAGTACTGGAAGGATATTTCTCGGATTTCATTTGTAGGTCCCCCCTTAATTTTGACAATGGAAAGTTTTTTATTACCATTTCTTGGAAGTATCAAATAGATCTTTTTCAAATAAATATAGGTTCCCCTTGGTCCCTGATTGTTCCCTTTTGATTTTCAACAGATGGTTTTCAGCTGGTTAGATTTCAATAATGCTAATTTGTTATCACTACTTCTTGAGAATTACATACAGTGGACCATTCTTGAATTTCTTATGTAGGATCTCCTTGATCCCAAAAGAAAATGACAGACAGGTGGCCATTTTTGATTTGACAGTTAAAGATTGCTATTATATAAGAGGAATTTTCAAATAAAGCAAAAAAATAGAAAAAAAGAAAAAGTAAGGAAAACATTTAACTTTTAAAGAACAAATATAGATAAAAAAATTAGTGAGTGCCAATATCTCTGTGGAATCTCTTGTTGTAATTTGTTTACCAATTATTTGTAGAGGTCAGCCAGAATGTGATCTCTAACAGAGCACAGAATGCTAATGTGTACCGGTTAGTGGAAGCCTATAGAAAGTATGGTCATAGACAAGCCATGCTGGATCCTCTTAGACTGCAGACTGTTGAGTAAGCTTGGTTAAATAGCTGCAGTTTGGGTTAGACCCAAAACTGTAGTTTTATCATATTTTACTCACTCCACTCACATAAATTGGATTTTGTTAGAAATTTTAATTTTGTGGAATTGATATTTAGTAGTGGGGTAATTTCAAGTATCAATGTAATATTCAACTGTGCTGTAAGAATGGAAATAAAGAGAAAAGATACCATTAAATATCAAAAGTAAGTTTATTTTATTTCAAACTCCTTAACATTCCAAGGTTGGAAAAAAATGTAGTGTTACCAGTTAGTTTGTCACCTCTGAAGGTCATCCAGTCAAGATTCAGTTATAACTGTTGGCATGCTTTTATACATTAGTATTGTTTTCAGATGTCTGTACAGACTGACCTGAAATTGTATTTCAGATGTAAAAATACTTTAATTAATAGTCTTGAATTAAGCAAATTTCATAGCATAAGCATGCCTTTACCATTGACCAGATGTAGATAGGGCTCACAAAACTTCCATTGGATGACACTTATGCATTTTGATGATAACAGATTTGTTTTTACTAAAGGGATGTACCAGAGCTGTGTCCCTCAAAGTATGGTTTGTCAGTTGACAGCCAGGACAGTTTCTCTACAGAGGGCATCTTATGTACCGACCAGGGTACAATGACTCTGTCTCAGATGGTAAAGTTTCTCGACAAGGAGTACTGTGGACCCATAGCTGCAGAGTTTGACCATCTAGAGGTAATTATAATACATAAATGTTTATTAACCTCTTCATGGACTTAGAATGAATCAACAAATTTGTTTATTTAAAGTATTGTAAAGATTTCTTTGTATGGTTTGCTGAAATGGTACTGTAATTTCGCTGTCTTTTTTCGTTATGTCTTTCTCATTACTTTATATAGACAGAGGAAGAACGCAACTGGTTTGCAGAAGCATTTGAATCAAAAAGAAACAAAGAATTCTCTCCTGATCAGAAGATTTCCTTGGCAACACTTATGTTGAGATGCCAGGTATGTAGGGCATACACATAGTGTATGTATATGAATATGCTAAAAAGTTCTTACATTCATTCAGCACTGAAAACATTACATACCACTGACAACTGTGTTTTGATTGATAAATGATCTTTTTATTACAGGCATTTGACCATTTCCTGGCAAACAAGTTCACAACAGTGAAACGATATGGAGGGGAAGGAGGTGAAAGTATGATGGGGATGTTTAAAGAGATTTTCCAGAAGAGCTCAGAGAGTAAGTGTTGACTTGTATGTACTCATAATGAACAAACATATGTGGATCAGTTCATGTCAAAAAACTATCAGCAGTGAAAGAACACTTAATTCTGATAATAAAATATTTCAGAGAAGTAAAATATCAGTGTATTTACAGTATGTATCAGTGTTGTTGTAACATGGAAAAGTGTATTAGGAACCAAGGCCATGTAGTTAGTTCACTGAATGTTGGTTATGTCAGTTTATCAACTGTTTTCTGTTAAGGTTAATTTGTGTATGACTGATTTCTTCAGGTGGAGTGTCAGATATAGTGATATGTATGCCCCACAGAGGACGGTTAAACTTCCTTACCTGTATGTTGCAATTCCCTCCTGTCATCATGTACCAGAAGGTAAGGTTTGACTGGCACCCCAAATTCTCTGTATTATATACTGTCGCACACAGCTGAAATCTTGGGATTGAACTACTGCAGACTGAAAACTTGTTCCAGACTTGTAAGCAGTTTTAATGATACAAAAGACATGATGATACATACATGCTTGTGTTTATTTACTTTTGCACCAGTTACTGTGATGGTACATAAATGTTACAATATCTTGACATTCCTGTTATAAGATTAATAAGATTGATGCTAATGGATAACTTATAATGTTGTCACAGTATAAAATAAACACTTAATCAGATTCAGACAATAACTTTACATAAGATTTGTTAATATATTTCAAACCAACAAAAACATCATAAACTATTTATCTTTAAATATTTTGATAGTTTATGATATGGCCAAGTCAGCTGCATAGTCCAATAGCTAGCTTTAGTGGTTGAGTGTCGTGTCCATGTTCCAAAGTTAAGCGACATCGACTGTAACCAGCACGTGGATTGGTGTGACTGCTCCATTGCATCCCACTGCACATCACATATGGTGGCAGCTCTGCTACTGTAGAGTGGCCATGGATGGGAAGCACAATGTTTCTGAAGACTTGTTGGGGAGATAAAGGTTCTAGTCTACTGACATCACCACAGTCTATGGGACATTACTTTTTGTGAAGATGCCAGGTTGAATCTATGGGAGCTTCAAAATGAAGCTCATCGGCAAATGGGCTAATGTGACTGATCATGGATATGGTCATTTCAGCTCCATAGTCCATTTGCAAGCCTTTGTGGTGTAAAGTTTAGTATTGTGTTCCAAAATTAAGCAGTATCAACTGTGGTGACTGCTTAGGTGGGTGACCTCTGTTATATGCAAAATCTCTTAAAATGTTCAAATATAAAATAAATATATTGAATTCTGGATAAGGTATCTTCTTGAAGTAATGTGAAAGAATAAGGTATTTTATACAACTAACATTGTCATGATTTGTCTAAAAGGAATACATAGTCAATGTACAGCATAGTGTTAGGTGTTTCTAAACATGGAAAGTGATTACCATATCTAATAAGACTAAGGCCTGAAACATAAACTACGGCTCACAATAAGAAAGTAGAGTACCAGTGATTATATCTAACAACTGTAGTATGTGACAGCATTTTTACTGAAACTGCTGTAGATGTGGTTAAGAAAAACTATCAAACTAGGACCTTTTGCCATATAAATACCCCGGTACCGATGATTGATGTTTTCATTTTCTTTTTTTAGAGTAAATTACATTGTCATGACAGCATTGATTGCAATGGCATGTTTGATGTTCATTTCCAGATGAAAGGTATGACAGAGCTTCCACCAGGTGCCGTAGGGACTGGAGATGTTCTTTCTCATTTATGTAGGTATATGTAAGACTCTTTATCAATTTATGATAATAAATTATATTCATAATTATATGCAATGAAAAAAATGAATCCTGAAAGATAGTAATTTTAAGGTAAAATGTTTCATGATAAAAAATTGTCTTTTCCCTGTTGTAGATACATCAACTGATCTGGAATATGGCAGTAACAATGTACATGTTTCCCTGATTCCAAACCCTTCCCACTTAGAGGTGAGGCTGGTATAATTTAATGTATCCCTGATTCCAAACCCTTCCCACTTAGAGGTGAGGCTGGTATAATTTAATGTATCCCTGATTCCAAACCCTTCCCACTTAGAGGTGAGGCTGGTATAATGTTATGTATCCCTGATTCCAAATCCTTCCCACTTAGAGGTGAGGCTGGTATAATGTTATGTATCCCTGATTCCAAATCCTTCCCACTTAGAGGTGAGGCTGGTATAATGTTATGTATCCCTGATTCTAAATCCTTCCCACTTAGAGGTGAGGCTGGTATAATGTTATGTATCCCTGATTCCAAATCCTTCCCACTTAGAGGTGAGGCTGGTATAATTTAATGTATCCCTGATTCCAAATCCTTCCCACTTAGAGGTGAGGCTGGTATAATTTAATGTATCCCTGATTCCAAATCCTTCCCACTTAGAGGTGAGGCTGGTATAATGTTATGTATCCCTGATTCCAAATCCTTCCCACTTAGAGGTGAGGCTGGTATAATTTAATGTATCCCTGATTCCAAATCCTTCCCACTTAGAGGTGAGGCTGGTATAATGTTATGTATCCCTGATTCCAAATCCTTCCCACTTAGAGGTGAGGCTGGTATAATGTTATGTATCCCTGATTCCAAATCCTTCCCACTTAGAGGTGAGGCTGGTATAATTTAATGTATCCCTGATTCCAAATCCTTCCCACTTAGAGGTGAGGCTGGTATAATTTAATGTATCCCTGATTCCAAATCCTTCCCACTTAGAGGTGAGGCTGGTATAATTTAATGTATCCCTGATTCCAAATCCTTCCCACTTAGAGGTGAGGTTGGTATAATGTAATGTTTATCTGATTCCACGATAATTATTTGAACCTTCTGTTTTCATTTTATTTCCTCAAAATATTTTGTTGAAATGAAAAAAAAAAATATCATGCAAATTGAATGTCATAAATCATTCAATAAATATAAATCCATGTCAAATTATTTTTTGTGGTAGAGATTAATGAATTTCAAAGTTAATGAAGTATTCATTAAATGGTTGCATTTGTTGAATGTGAGAATAAGAAATCCATGATCTCTGATATTTTATTAGCTGTGTATGCTTGATGAAGTAAGTACAAGAAAGAAATTTCACTTGCTATTTTATTTCAGGCAAACAACCCAGTAGCTGCAGGAAAGGTGAGAGCCAAACAGCAGACTCTAAGAGAGGGAGACTACTGTGATGAAGAAGGGACGTCCCCTGGGGACAAGGTGCTTTGCCTACAGGTGCATGGTGATGCCTCCTTTTCTGCTCAGGTAAGTGATGTCTCATATTTTTTGAAGGTTAGTTGCTTTCCTGCTATTTTCATCACATCTTATAACAATGTCAGTCTAGCTACCTTTTTTGAGCTTTTGAAGGTGATTCTTTGTTGTGACTGAAAACTTTTCATTTCAGCGTTCCAGAATTTTCTTTCCTACAGCCCACATTCCAATATCTCAAGATCAATAACCATACAAACCCATAAAGAACCTTTATTTCGATGTTTTCAAAAATTCTAAAAAAAAGGAAAAATTTTAATAAAGTAGTTTGTCAAAGTTCCAAAGTTCATTAAAGATATTTGAGGATATATGTCTTGAACTGTAGATGTCATAACTTTTCATACACAACTATCGGTATATGATAGTTGCTTTTCACAATTATTGGTATGTTACCATGTAAGACTAAGATAATTTTTCGGTTATATTATTCAATCCTGCATCTGTTGGATAATTGAATCATTTGATAGGAAAGTGAAAGCAAAACCACTTATATTTACAAACAATTGATTAATCCTGATATTTCATTATTTTTTTTGTCAAATTGCAGAGCTATGTACTAACTTCTTACTGGAAGGTTTCTGTTTAAGTTAAGAAATGTTCTCAAAAATTATTAATGTTTGATTGTTAAATGAAATCTATTTGCAGGGTGTTGTTGCAGAGACATTTGCGTTTGCTGAATGTCCTCACTTCAGAGTCGGAGGCAGTGTTCATCTCATCATCAACAACCAGGTTGGATTTACAACGGAGGCAGAACGTGGCAGGTACATGTTCTCTATAACAAGCAGACTTTGTCCTCTGAACTCTGACCTCTGAAATGAATGCTTCTGGTGAAAGATAGGTTAACACTTACTTTGATAATTTTATGTAAGAAAAAAACTATGCCTTTTTAATTGTCTGTACAGTATAATGTTAATTCAACTTCAGGTCCTCTAGATACTGCAGTGATTTGGCCAAAATGAATGGTTACCCAGTTCTTCATGTAAATGCTGATTCCCCAGAGGTAAGCAGACCAACATACTTGTACATGTATTAATAGCAATGTCATGAACATAAGAATACCCTTTGGATATTTTTGAGAAAAAACTTGAGAAATTTTCCTTTGAAACGATGGCTGAGGCTTTCTCTGATTTCCTAAGTTGGGTGATCTCCCTTTACACCATTACAATACTGTACCTCTATTTGTACAGGATGTTATGAGAGCCACCACTATAGCCATGGACTACAGAAACAAATTTCGTAAAGATGTCATCATTGACTTCATATGCTTCCGGAAGTATGGACACAATGAGATTGACGATCCTTCGTTTACCCAGCCCATCATGTATCGTACCATCAACAGTCGCACCAGTATACCAGACATGTATGCCAACAAACTTGTGGTGAGTACCATATGGGGAGAGGTCAAGAAAAGTTTTCATGTTATGCTTTGATTCAAGATATTAATCAGGAAAAAGACTCATATCAAAGCTATTTTCAAAGAGAAGCCTTGTTTGGCACAAAACAATACCTGAACAGTGTGTCTATAACAGATGAACACGTAAGGATTATCAGAAACAAAAAATACATGGATAAAAAGCCTTAATTTGATTCTGGATGCCACAACTTTTTAACAAATAGCTGTTCAATTATTGATAAAGAATATTATCAAAGTTTCTGAATGGTTTATTCAGTCCGACATGTTCTGTAAGGATGCTGACTTCTATTGATCTTGTCTGCCTATGTAGGATGAGGGTGTGTGTGGACGGGATGTGCTGGACAAGGCTATCCAGGAGTGGTCAGAGACTCTGGCCAAGGACATGAGTGCAGTGGACACACACATTCCTCAGGTGAATACATGCAAATTCATAATATGTAAGCTTTATCTTTATTACTTAGGCTCTTGCGTTTAACAATACCTTTGACTTCAGATAATTCCAAATGCTGCTAGCATCATATGTGTATCATAAGAGTCCCTGAGATAGATAATTACTCACTATTAAAAGCTGGTAGATTCCAGGAGATTTGCCCCCAATTGGAATTTCTCTGAAGCTCTACAAAAATATGGAAGTTTTAGGAGAGTTGACAGTTATGTTTAAAAGATGGGAATGTGCTGTGGTACATATCAATGACCAGTGATGTACTTGAGCACTAGAACTATTTGTATGCATTTTGTAAAGTAACAGACTTATGTTTACAGCAGCGACATCTTCAGCAACAATGGTCAGGACTGGTTCAGGCATCAGACTCTGTAACAACATGGGACACAGGTGTGGCATCAGATATCCTCAAGTTTGTTGGAGCCAAGTCAGTTGACATTCCTTCTGACCAGGTAAAACTCATACAAATAAAAATATGACAAATTCATATCATGTAGCCAAATAAAATTGCTATCATTATCTACACTAAGTTAAGTAATTTCCCTGTGAATTTATAAAACAGCTCTCTCTGTCAATGACATTACTAGAAGACCATGAACATTGAATATCGAGATAATGACAGACAGACTGACTAAAGCATTAATAACAGATGGAAAATGTTTCATGATTGTTTCTCTGCATGGCCCTAAAGTACATAATGGAGTAGAGATTGGCCCTAAGGTACATAACGGAGAAGAGATTGGCCCTAAAGTACATAATGGAGTAGAGATTGGCCCTAAAGTACGTAATGGAGTAGAGATTGGCACTAAAGTACGTAATGGAGTAGAGATTGGCCCTAAAGTACATAATGGAGTAGAGATTGGCCCTAAAGTACATGATGGAGTAGAGATTGTAATGGGCTGTGTATAAGGCAGTATAAAACTTTTTTCAGAATGTGCACCCCACTATACAGAAGACCCATGTGGAGCGGCGTCTACAGAGAATAACTGAGGGCAATGACCTAGACTGGGCAACAGCTGAGGCGCTGGCATTCGGGTCACTCCTGTACCAAGGTAAGATATATACAGCAAGTCTGTGAGATTTTACATATTGAAAATTTGCTTTCATATTTGTGAGGTGGTGAAATTATTGCTTGTGCTTTTGTGCCTTATGTTATACTTTTGTTACAAAACATCTTAGGCTTCAATGTACGGATCAGTGGACAAGATGTTGGGCGTGGCACATTCAGTCACAGACATGGGATGATTGTTGACCAGGAGACAGATAACATTGTCATACCCCTCAACCACATGTCTGATCATCAGAAAGGCTACATGGAGGTACAGCCACAACACACATGATCTTTGTTTTGTTTGTAATGGCCATAACTTTGTCAGGTTTTTACATTAAGTTACCAAAACTTGATCGCTTAAAAATATCTGACTGGAAAAGCGTCAAACAAAAAAAAAAAGTATTCCATTTTTTTAGTTATTTTGTCATGGCAAGAACATTGTCAGACCTAAGAATGATGCAAACATCCACTTAAACCCCATCCCCCCACCCCCATGCCTTGGAAATGTTGTTTTATATTTTGTTATTTTGTGAATGGGGTTTGCTTCCCTGACTGTTTCTATGTAATTAAACTTTATTACAAAGTCCAAAATGCCTTTTTCATCTAGTTTGCCTCACCTATTACACAATGAAAGTCCTTTGCTTCTTGTACCTATAGCAATCACTGTAACTGTAATTCTACCTTACTCTATATGCTATAAGTACTCTCAAGTTAATCAAGGAACAATTGATCAGATATCTTATTAGCTACCAATTTCAAAGAACCTTTGGAAATTACTGATAAACTCATTTCTTATACATTACCTCCCCCCATACTTCTTGTATAACTGATTCTATGAAGTATTTAGGTAGCCTTGCTAATGTTGTTGATATGTAGGTGGCCAACAGTGCACTGACTGAGGAAGCAGTCCTTGGCTTTGAGTATGGCATGAGTCTTGAGAACCCCAATAACTTAGTCATCTGGGAGGCCCAGTTTGGAGATTTCTTCAATGGAGCCCAGATTATCATTGATACTTACATTGCCAGTGGAGAAGGTAGGTTGTGAGATGCCGGATAAAAGATTAACTAAATCATTTTTGCAGCAGTCCTGAAACATTTTTATCACCTTCATATTTATTCAATAAGCTCATGCCTAATGAGTCTACCCATATATAATGATGTTCAATACATTCACAAATAAACGATATTTGATTACCCGGTATTAAGCACACATCTGGACTTCTCTAAAGTAAAATGTCGGCCCTGCCTCATTGCAAGCAAGTCATGGACATTATTTGTACCTTTCATTTCATATCATGGTTTCCCTGTTAAGTAGTTGAACTTCCCTGGAGTAAACAGCAGAAAGCTGTCCAGGACTGAGATATAGATTTAATTTGTTTATAGAATCATCTGTGACTCTGTATTATGTGTTACAGACAAATGGCTCTTACAGTCAGGACTGGTTATGTTACTACCTCATGGTATGGATGGAGCCGGACCAGAACACTCATCTTGTCGTATGGAAAGGTTCCTACAGGTAAATTCTAGGGTCTACATGAACATATTAACAAGAACATATCAATTATGATACCAGCTGTCCTTATACTACCATTCATATTGTTTTTGAAGCATTTTCCTGTCAAGTGACAGATTTCATAAAAAAAAAATTATGAAGACAGGATAAATATATTCATTAAGTAGTTTGATTTTTTTCATTGCTAGAAATCAATTAATTATTAAGTAAGAAAAACAAATAATGTTTTATTTTTTATTATGTTCTGTCTGGAAAATATTCTGTGATCATGAAGTCTGGTTAATGACAAAAGGTAGTAAACTAAGAGGTCAGTTTTTTGAGGACATTTTCCAACCTATAAGACTTCATTATAAACATGAATTCATTTTGTTATTCTCTGTGTAATGAACTTGTTGACTTGAATTATAGATGTGTGACAGTAGTGAACATAAGGTTGACAGCGATCAAGTCAACCTTCAGGTGGCAAACCCCACAACTTCTGCGCAGTACTTCCACTTATTGAGGAGACAGGTAAGTCCAATGCAGAAACTTCCACTACTTCAACCTGCCAGTGAGACAGATAAATCAATCCTAGGTCTCCTGCCCAGTAACTCCAACTACAGAGGAGACAGATAAGTCAATTCTAGGTCTCCTGCCAAGTAACTCCAACTACTGAGGAGACAGGTAAGTCCAGCCCTATGACTACCGCCCAGTAACTCCACTTACTGGGGAGACAGATAAGACCAACCCCATAGCTACTGCCCAGTAACTCCAACTACTGAGAAGGCAGGTAAGTCCAACCCAATGACTACCGCCCAGTAACTCCACCTACTGAAGAGACAGGTAAGTCCAACCCAATGACTACCGCCCAGTAACTCCACCTACTGAAGAGACAGGTAAGTCCAAACCTATGACCATCACCCAGTAACTTCAACTACTGAGGAGGCAGGTAAGTCCAGCCCTATGACTAGTGTCCAGTAACTCCACTTACTGAGGAGACAGGTAAGTCCAAACACATGACCACCGCCCAGTCACTCCACCTACTGAAGAGACAGGTAAGTTCAGACATGTGACTTTTGGATGAAAATTTGCATTGTCTATCTTGATGAACAGTTGGGATACTTCACAACAATTTGCAATCACAATAAGAAAATTTTACATGCATATTGATAAAAGAAAACTGAATTTACAGTTGATATTTGAAGATGTGTTTTACTGCATAGCTTCCAAATGGTAATTTGAAGATGTTCTACCTTCCAGCAAAATTAAAGAGTAAATAATTGTATTTGAATACCATATAAATGTATAGGTTTCAATTTCAACAGATGGTAAGAAACTATCGTAAGCCCCTGGTTGTAGTTGCCCCAAAGGTCCTACTGCGTCTGTCAGCTGCCACATCCTCACTCTCAGATATGACACCTGGTACTAGTTTTAAGCCTGTCCTTGGAGACCCAGGGGTAAAAGGAGACAAAGTCGCTAAGGTCATATTCTGTACAGGCAAGCATTTCTACAACCTTCAGAAAGAAAGGGACAGTAAAAATCTCCAGGACACTGCCATTATACGACTGGAGGTAAGTGTGCAGTTTTACAGTTTTTTTGGCATATAGAATATTATTGCTAATCAGAGAATAATGGTTTTCTTTTTGCAGTATCACTTTCTAGAATATAGATGTATTCATACGAGTATTGTCTGTCTGATAATAAATTTAAACATTTGGCCCCTGTTCTTCAAAAGGCTAATTAGAGTTCACCAGTGGTTTGTAAAAACTACTAATTGCTGCCACTAAAACAAAAAACAGTGTTACAGGCAAAAACAAAAAATCCACTTCAAATGTATCAAGGTAATTTGTCTAATAATTTATAGCTGTGAAATAATGAAAGATGTTCCTAATTTTGTTTAATTCATACAGCCAAACTTTGTTAATTTGAACTCGGAAAACTTGAATAACTCACTAAACTTGAAATACTTTGTTGGTATCATCAAAACTCTTTTTTTTTTATCTCAGTAACAAAAACTTGGATAACCTCTTTAATTTGTGAAGATAAATTCTGACCGGCTATTATTACAAAAAGAAACACTCATGGTTTCATTAATTTTGTTTGATAAAAAAAAAAAACCTGATGATTCAAAGTAAAACTTTGGTCCCAGAAACCAAAATCCTACTTGAAGTGTCACATTTCTAAGTGTCACTTATAGATATATTCGACGACATGGACACTCTAAAACAGTTGTTTTTTTGTGTTGGATGTGAATTTGTGCACTTTAATTTCCAGTTTGAAACTTCATATAACTTTTGAATAGATTTACTGAAATTGCATATTATTGACCCAAATAGCCTCAAGTTTGTTTGTTACTGCAAGCTATACTTCATAAAAAAAAAACTTTTTATAACTCGAATACTTCAATAGCTCAAAGTTTTTTTCACAACTCTGACACTTTTAGTAATCGAGGTTTGACTGTATTTGAAAGTTTTCACAACCCACTAGTTATCTCTAACCAGCCTGTGAACAACCAAAGCTGCACTCTTTGTTTCATTTCATTTTCTTTGAAATATATAATGTGTATCCTACAGTAATAGCATCTTCTGAACACAGTGACGTCCATATTTCAGAGCCTGTGTCCATTCCCTACAGCAGAACTACAGGCAGAGCTTGTTAAATTTCCAAGTGCAAAAGGTAACCGACTGTTTCCTCATCGTTTTCAATAGAAAACTCCATTGAAAAATCTTTGTATAGATATTGTTGAATAATCAATATATACATGGACATCATGATGGTATACAGCAGATTTCTGAAAAATCTTTGTATAGATATAATTCCATAGTCAGGGTCTCCTTAGATGATCTTATACATATTAGTTTCAATCAATTTATAGTCACAGTGATTACTAAGTACTACTTGGAAACAGATTTCAGGAATGATGAAATATACATTTTTTGTTGATTTTTCTATCAAAGTGATGGTAATGCTGTATACATTCTAGGGTGTGCTTATTACTGGTAAATGATTTAAATTTGATGACAGATTTTGTGTGGAGCCAGGAGGAGCACCGTAACATGGGGGCTTGGACATTTGTCTCTCCTAGATTTGAAAACCTAGTGGGACGTAAGGTGAGAATCCTCAGTTATTCATTTCTACACAAGTTATATAATTATACAATACTTGTATTAATGGCTCTTTTGATAATATATTTTTATGTCTTTGTTTGTCTAGGTTATGTTCTCTGTTTTACATTCTACCAAAGTTCTGTTCAGGGTGATTCATTTCATTTACAGAGTTTTCTTTTTTAACAGACGCCACATTTTCTTTTTCCTGTTATTGTAGACTTTTTCTGAAATGTTCAATTTTAACTCACTACAAATGTATTTTTCTTATCACATGTGAAGGGATCGAAGTGAAACTAAGGTGTTATTTTCCACTGGTGTTCATATCAACATTAAGTGAAAGTGTTCAGTTCTGTATATCAGAAGTGTTATTGCAACCAAATTTAGTGTATGGCTTGGAATTTTTTAAATGCCTTATGAAAGTAACCTACTTGAAGATTTCAAATGGATTTTTGACTCATTTAATCAAATTATCTTTTGTTTTCAATGTTTAAATGTTTTAAAGACAATTAAGGCAATTTCAAAGTGGGACACATACTTCAGTGAAAATTCCTGTCAGATATTCTTCTGTAAACCAATTTGATCATTTCAAATTTGTGTAAGATATCTACATTAAGTTAAAGTGAATATAAATATGTGCGAATTTAATTTGAAATGTTATGATCTAAAATTAAACCAAATGAAATCATTACAGTAGTTTACAATGTACACAACTTAATATAGTGGGTAGAAGGAAAGCTATTTGACTGATATATGAAATAGAAAGTACTTTCAGTGCATGAAGTATCTTTACATTTTGTGTAACACAATGTTTGATTGTAGCTTCGATATGTTGGTCGCGATCACTTGGGCTGCCCAGCCACTGGGATCGGGGAAGTTCATCGGGCTGAAGCACAACAACTTCTGCTGGACACCTTCAGTTGACCATTCCTGTAGACTGCTAACTGCTGTTCATGTAATGCACCTGTATGTTTGTAACTTAATTGTGCATGGTACCGAGATGTTGCTACTTAACAAGGCTTTATGTAACAAAGAAATGACAGAGACTGTCTGTTGTAAGAAGACCGTTTTAATTTTTTTTCTAAGAGAATAATCAGATTTGTGTTTTATAAACAAGAATTAGTAATGACAATCAGAAGGATTAAGCTAGTTTGGTTTGTCACAAATGCTGTTATTTAGTCATGTCATAAAATTAAATTGTTTGGCAAGCTTCAAAATTAGGTGTTGCTCAGAAAAACCATAACTTTGCCTTCTTAAGTAACATGGTTTACTTTTGTAATAAATGTCTCTTTGTAAAAAAATTACCAAAATATCTACAAAATTATGAATTCAAGATATTCAATTTTCATTTTGGTCAGAAAGTTATGATTTACTTTGAAGGCTCAATATTTTTTTTTTTCTTTTTTATCTTTTATGTATACAGTGGAATGGAATATTGTCACATTTTATTGAAGTTACTCTTTGCGAAGTCAGGCCAAATCCACCTTTTTAAAGCTGCAAGTTTTCAGTCTGGACAGGAAACCATTTGTCATTTGTTATCTTCACATTAATAGGCCCCTCAATACCCTTAGTGTAGCTATCTAGTGATGTTATTTGATCACCTAATTGAATGTTGTCACAACCTCACGTCATTGTTATATTATACCAATATTTTAACAGATAGTATTTGTTTTTGAATAGCGTTCACAAATCATGAATGTAATATACATATATTTATTAAATCCTTACAAATATACAAAACATTTTAGGAATGTGGAATTTTTTTTTGATGCTGATGCCCATTACATTTTGACAGTGCTTGGCTGTTTCAGTAAGCAAAGGGTTAACTAGTACCTAGTGTCATTTTAATCAGGACTACCCAAGTACACACAGAAGTTACTTGTCAACCAGTACCTGGGGTTTAAATAGACATCCTACGCCTTTTCCAGATGCTGTATGAAACCATTTAAAAGCCTTTGTGTAATGTATTGAATTTCAGATGTTGAAAATGCTTACGTTTTTTCTTCTTGTTTGTAAGAACATTTACTTTGGACCTAAGTGTGGTTTTCAGAATGGGAAATACAACTATTGAAGGAGTTGATTTGAACTTCTCAATATACCTGTTGCTTTTTAGGAAATATTTAAATTTTATGTTTGGAATTTATGTCAAAGGGGTCAGATTAGATTTTGATATTGATGGTACTTCTGAATTGGCATTAATTAAAAGATATGCTGGCATGGTAAACAATATTGGCATGACTTGATATATGTATTTTAAAACTTAAAGAGTTTATTTGAAATTACAAACAATTTAAGTTTGAATGGATTTTATTTACACTGCTACTAAACAGATTTCATTGTGATATTAATATATTTAGAGATGCTCATGTATTTAGATTTGTTTCCATTGATATGCAATTAGGACCTTACAGTCATAAACCAATATAAAGCAAGTGATGTCTGGATATAATGTAACTGATGGTGAATGGACTAATTATATAAATTTAACTGGTAATGACTAATTATATATAATTGATATATGACTAATTATATATAATTGGTAATGACTAATTATATATAATTGGTAATGATTAAATGTATATAACTGGTAATGAAATGATATATTTAGCTGGTAATGACCTCGATATATATAGCTAGTAATGACTAAATTTATTTTACTAATGATGACTAAATATATATAACTGATGATGACTGGATATATGTAACTAATGATGACTGGATATATTTATGTAACTAGTGATGACTTGATATATGTAACTAGTGATGACTAGATATATGTAACTAGTGATGACAGGATATATGTAACTAATGATGACTGGATATATTTATGTAACTAGTGATGACTTGATATATGTAACTAGTGATGACTAGATATATGTAACTAGTGATGACAGGATATATGTAACTAGTGATGACAGGATATATGTTACCAATGATGACTGGATATATTTATGTAAGTAGTGATGACTTGATATATGTAACTATTGATGACTAGATATATGTAACTGGTGTTGTCTATATACATGTAACTGGTGATGACTAGATATATGTAACAGGTGTTGTCTATATATATGTAACTGGTGATGACTAGATATATGTAACAGGTGTTGTCTATATATATGTAACTGGTGATGACTAGATATATGTAACAGGTGTTGTCTATATATATGTAACTACAGGATATATGTCATTGGTGATGACTGGTCATTACTTTTCTTAATTTTTGGAATATGAGATAAAGTGGTTGTTTGAATATTTGCTTCATATTTACCTTTAAGCCGGTGAAATTTCAAAAAGTATTTTTATATATGTAACCATTTGAATGTGATGTGTGTTGATGTGATGAGGGGAGGGGGTAATAATATGGTGAGCTTTGTTTTGTGTTATATTTTTAGTTCTAGCACTTGCAGATATTTAGTAAAGCCAGATGGTGTTTTCATGGCTTTTCCATTTTGAAACATTCATGCAAATTTACTTACAAAGATAAAATTTTGCTATCAGGAGATACTAATATACATGGAAGTTCAACTTTGTGTAAAATTCAATTATCAGTAATTAAGCAACAGAAAACAACTACTGTAGCAAAAATAATCATGGTATATATGGTGATGTCATGCTTTATTCCTGTCTTTATATCTTATATGCCATGTTGAATTTCATAAATGCTCGGTTTCATCATCATTTAAACTTTAACATAATGGATTCAGATACTCATTCCATGATAAACAAGAGACCCCAAAGGGATCTTAGCGCTCAACATTGTTTTATCTTTATTTGCTCTTTGAAAGTTGGATCTTTTACCTTCTTTTCTTCTCTTCTCTGTTTTTTTTTACTTAATAATATGACACCTGTTGGCCATTTTTTTTTCTGATCAGTCCCAAAATCAAACGGGCACAACTAAGAACCAAGGGGAACCTACATATGCAATTTGAGAAAGATCCATCTAGTACTTACCAAGAAATAGCAATAACAAAAACAGTTTACTGACAGACAGACCATGGACACAGAACAATTTGAATAGCCCACTAGCTGATGATGGGGAGTTTAAAATCCAGTCTTGTGCAGAATTGTTTTCTTTGCATTGTTACTGCCATTAACCAACCACCTCGGGGGAAGATTTTATCCCTAATGATAGGTTGTAAGAGGGCTATGTAAAATTACTGATAAATTGGAGATGAAAATGAAATGTCAAAACACTTTGTGTATAACGTTTGTCTTGTTCCACACATGTATACATTTATAGGTTAGCCCTGTCATCAGTCATTTCTCAAAGGAATTTTCAGGATGCATTATGTTATTGTCATCACTCTGGCAATGTATTTAGTGATTAGGATGAAGCCTTGTAGAAGTGTTAGAAATGTAGTTGCGGCATGCAGAGCATTTACATTAAATTGTTCTAATAATCAAGTAAGCTGTTCATTCGTAAATCTTTAAGAAGAACTACTTTTGTATTTCTGTTAAGTATGACACATGTTGCAATGAAAAACCCATTTTTCAAAAATGTGACCTGAAAACGTGCCCTTGTATGGTTCATTATATTGAAACACATACTTGTGAGTTGAATCTTCCTTAGCAATATATTACAGGAATGTCACATTGAAGAAGCCATTACAGAAGGGATTTTTATTTAGTTATTTAGCCAGTGCAGAATTCATTTTTACAGGAAAATAGTTTATCTCAGAATGTTATACAAAATAAAAGATATTGTAACCAATATATACCTAAGACAAGCTGAATTGATTTTGAAGGAATTTAGGATTAAATAATTAAAAAATAGAATGAGATGTGATACCATGTAGTAAAACATTAAGCAAAATCATGTATTTTCCTTTGAAGTTGATTTCATAAATAAAATTAACCTCCAGAGTCCTTCAGCACCAAAATTTTATATGACTTTTAATCTGTTTATCATGTAGTTGACCTTCCCTTGATATAAATTGTTGTCTTGTGAGATTGCTCTTGTATGATCTACACTTATGGTTTGTCATTTTATATTTATAACGAACAATTGGGAGTAAAAAGATTTATCATGGTGGTATGTTTTCATCTTTATACAGTAATTTGTTAAGATCTTGCAGAATATTTCAGTATCTGTACATTTTGATTAAAGCTTAACCATGATAAAAGTCATTTGGTCATAAGAAAAATGATTCAATTTCCATGTGACAGTGAAATGAAGTTTCCATGTTTGAGCTACAGTTGAAGGGAGACAACTCAATTTATCTTCCCATTGTGAAATGTGCCTAACTCATATTAAGAATAAAACAATATCAACCAACAGTTTAAAATTGTTTATTTCATATTAGCTATTGGTAATATCAGAGAGGCACATATTTCTCTATCAACAAACCACAGCTGTCCAGCATACATCTATATATCCCTGGTCTTATCGTCCTGCCGCACAGCGACTGAAGGACAAGGTCAAGGTCATATAGATTGGGCTATAAACATGGCGGTATAAGACACAGTATGAACGTGTAAAACATGTTAACTCAATATTACATCCATAGCAAACAACAATATTCCAGGACATCTTCACAGAGCTGACCAATGACCAAATAGGTTTTTTCTGTCCATAAATGTTTGAATGTTCCCAATTCCATCAAAAAACACTTGTGTAACCCTGAGATTTCAACATTTTAAAAGGCCTATACCTATACATGCAAAAAGTACATTTGTGATTCAACACAGGTTATTGAGCAATATTGAAATCACAGCGAACTTTGATGGAGTATGTTTAAATCTATCTCTAAGATTTGCCATTTATGGACTTTTTACATATCTTTCAACCATTTCTTTAAAAAGATCTTGTCTGGCGATACTGAAACAAAATGTTAGTAATTGTATCAGCAAATTCATTTTCACGTATAACACTTGGAAGACTTTTTAGCCTGTATTTCAGTGGCTGGTTATGTAATTTTCTTTAAATCATGATTTGTCATATACGTTTATGACGACTTGTATTGGTCAGCCCAAGAAGGATGCTCCGTCTATCTATACACAAGTGACCAGAGCAAGTCAGTATAACCTTGTCCAGGCAGTCTGACCTTTTATGTGTCCTTGACCAGATGGTTCAAGACCACATCTGGGCAGTCTACAAATAAATGAAGGAAGTTGTAACAAATGAGTCATTAACATGTATAAATCAATGATTGATGATGAAAAGCAGCCTTTATATGCAAAATATTTTTAAAAATCAAAATTAAAAAAAAAATATATGAAAAACATTGTAATGTAATCTTTATCAATTGTACGGAAATGAATATATCAAATAAAATTACATAACATTCACTGCATGTCTTGACACTGATAAATGTGTTGACGAGAAATTCCACTATAAAGCAGGAAAAAGATGTTCTATTCTTGAACATGCGAGTACAGCTTAATATAGAGAGTTGGCAATTTTTATTATTCTCATCGATCTTGATATTTTCTGTATCAATTATGTGCTTCAATATCTACAGAAGAATTATTCTGGCTTATGATCAGTTACAATCATGTCAAGTCCAACTATCTAGGCCAAACAGTAAGCTACCGGTGCCTTCAAGTATTGATATTAACTCAGATCTAACACATCATATCAGTGAATTTCTTTCTCAATTGAAATCACTGCCACTGCAATATTTTCCTTTTCCGGGCCTTCCATCATTTCAAAATAATTTTTCACCAGTCAACATTCGAAGAATTAGGACACAACTAAAGGATGGTTAAACATGATCACTAGTACTACAGAAATTAAAAGGCATAGCACCAGAAATAAATTGGTTGGGTTTATTTGAATTCATACTGGTAATATATTATAAAATGACATAAATATATCTATACAATGTATACAGCTTTTATAGAACTCTGAAAATTTGTTTATTACAAACACACATATAAAAACAATACAACATAGACATGTTGACAAGAATGACACAGACTGATACATGTACACATCAAAATGCACCACGAAATTGTCACCAGCATTTTAACAAAATAGCGTCATTATATGAGCATCACAAAAGAGGGATAAAAATTAACAGAGATTTTCATCTCCACTAAAATAATGTAAATCACACCTGACAATAAAAATGTCTTGAAAAGAAAAAATAAAATCATTTAACCCATTCTTGTGTAATTTAAGTAAGTTTATACATACAAGTGTCTTAAATAGAAAATAGCGTATTACTTACATCATAAATAATACAGCTTGATTATATCCTTTGAATCACACGTGTAATACTTATTTAACAGTTTCACAAGGTAAACCCCTAGCTTCTCATACATAATTAACTTCCTATCTATTTGTGATGGAAACTATTAACAAGTTATTCTCAACCAGGTATGCACATCCTTAGTCCTTTACACCTGAGTACAAAATTCAACCTGCCTATCATAGGTAGAATTAAGTGGTGCCAAATGGCAGTGATGAAACCATGAGTCTGAAGTTAACAGCAATTTTTTTTTCCCCTTACAAAGTCCTATTTTGTATAAATCTGTCAATTATTTCAGTTTTTCAAATAGACATGCAACAGGAAGTCAGATCAGCTCCTTTTAAAGTAAATTTTGTTTGTTCATCAAACAGTTTAATGTATAAAATGGCTGTGATCTATCTGGATAAATCTTAACATCAAAGAGAAAGATATGATACTGCATCATATGAAAGTATACCTTCTTGAATAATATATCAGCAGTATTTGCTATTTTTAAATGACTACAAAGCTGTGCCTCCAGACAATATACATTTGTCACACACCGGGTATGTAATTTAGGACTTCAGGGGAGCCCAACTCATTACAAGAATTTACAGGAGCGTTGAGAAGGACACAGAATGTTCTACTCCACTGATATGCCCTGTGTGTTAGTGGGTTAGGACCTAGTCACCATATAACCCAAGCATTTAGGAAAGTTCTGTGCAGAATTGAGTAGCATGTATCAGGATAACATGGAGATCATGCAAACCCATCTATACAACAATGATATAATACAGAGCATTTCAGCACTAATGAATGAAGGTTGCTTTTGACTGATAGCAGTGTGACATTTCTCACACACTGTCTGATTCACATCAGGTGACTAAGTAACTGGTATTAAACAACACAATCAAATCTCCCATGAACTGGTTACATAGAACACTTTGGGATAATGTCACAAATTTCTTCTCGTCACTTCCCACTTTGACATCCAGCATCCACATAAACAAAGATTTTTGAAGAGTCTATTTTTTCGTTTACACAGAATGTAAGCACAAACAGCGCCACCTAGGGAGTCCTTGTGTTACATCCTGGGATAGCTCTTGATTATTGCCCAAATTGTACTGACCTTTCAGTGACCAGCTGAGTAAGGCATTTCTGTCACTTTTTTTTTTTGAGATACCATGTGTAATGATAGGCACTACTGCTCTGATCACAAAACAATGCTTTTATTCCATCCACCTGTAAGTTTGTGGAATAATTCTTCGTTTAAGGTTTGGTTTTTGTCCTGTGATCTCATTGATAAGAATATATATCCTCCTATGTATTCATGAACCACTTTACAGTCAGCATTTAAACATGCAAAAGTTAGCCTCTCCCCCTCAAAGTCCAGAAACACCTGTTTTACTTCCCAGTTGACGTGCCAGTTCTTCAGTGTATTGTATCGCCAGGTCTTCAGTGAATCTCCTGTTGAAATATCCATCCGTATGATCCTGTTGTAGGCCACTCCAAGTAGCTCCTGTAAGACAACATTAATATGTTGTTATCAACAGCTGATAGTCAGTTACTTGTCTAAACCATCATTGAGAACACTATGCATAATACTAGAAAATATGCCCACAGATACGACTGGTGTAAAGGTCAGAATACTAATGATCACTTGATTTAAATTAAAACAATTTAAAATCGGAACGATTTAAAATTGGAACACAATTTATGCTACTTATATTCAAGGTACTGGAAGAGGTTAACATTTTTATCCTGGATTGAAATCAAAGTTCTTACCTCTTTCTTGGCACCTTTCTGTTTGATGATGAAGTAAGTGATACCAAAGTCCGGGAGGGCCTGCCATGTCTTGATGAAGTTCATCTTAGCATCAATCAGGTTCAGGTTCTGTACATTAGCATGGACATCCAAAATTCTCTGCTGTAGCTGTAATATATATATGTTGAATGTAAGCAAAGGCAATAATTTTGAACACTATACTGAAGATGGAGGGTTAATATACTGCAACTTCACAAAACCAGATAGGGGTATTTATCATTTAGATGGTAAATTGTGTGCATATGGGTCTGTAATAACTTCCCAATACAGATGTATCTTGTGATCAATGGTGACAACTGAATTTCACATCTAACTGACCTGTTTAGACTTTATTTTCCTATAGAAGCGTGGAGCCACAAAGTCCTCAGAGTTAATCTCCTTCTCTATTGTAGGGGGTGATCCGGTCTGTGTTGACAGATGCTGACGACTCAGCATTGTCTTAAGATTCTGGACTTCTGTCTCATAGGAACTGTCAGCCATGGTCTTCCCTTGGGAAGCCAGTTTACAAGCTGCCATCCATTTACAGTATTGCTCCTCCTGTAAACAAACCACCAATAAGAAATACACATGTGTATTAGGTAGAAAAAAGACTTACCAGGCAGGTTTAAACATGGGAAACAGGTAAAACATCAAGAAAATGGGAATATACAAACATCTGATACATAAACGTAGGACCTGAAAACTGTTTTCCATATGCATATAAGTTCTTAAAACATTTACATTATTTCACAGAATCATAAAATAAAACCTCATCTTGTGATAATTGGAATATACTCGCAGATTTATTGCTTTAACTGTTTTCTCACCAAGCATTATAAAAATATCATGGTTGGACAAGATCTATTTTCTAATAACATACCATATCAAACCTGAGCCAGACTTCAGACATCCCATCAGATTCTGGTACAAACAACTTCATGCCATATTTTTTTGAAGATATATTCAAATCGGGATGACTTTCACATCCTGAAATATTAATGCAAAAGTTAGCATCTTTATATAAATTATTTTCTAATTGTTAAAAAATCTAACTCATTTCCAATATAATGTGATAAGATAGTAGTTTCAAGCTCCTAGCAGTAACATCAATGTAACTGTTATTGGTTAGAAAAAGTTCAATGACACATTCTTTATACTTGTAAGGAACTGTGATAAAGTATACCTTTTGTGTTGATCCTCCAGAACGGTGTGCCTTGGGACTCCTCTTTGCTCTTGTAAAATGCTATGTGTGTGTCCTTGAATGTGCACCATGCCCTGCTGTAACTCTTCCGAAGTGATAATTTCTTTGGCCTGCAAGAACAAAACAAACACTATAAAGTCATCTCTTTTATATTTTGATTCAGTCTTCTCTCGAAACAAAATCATCAGATAAAATAAGTTCATGAAAAGATTCCCTGAATTTTGAAATATTTTTGACACTCAAAAGGCAATGTGTGCCACTATCATTTACTCAGGCTTTACACTCGAGATAATTATCTGTGTATGGCTTTCATACTTACGAAATTTATATAATAAAATATAGTATTCAAAAGGAAAACATCAGATATCATATTGATACAATAACTATGGTATGTGAATATCATTGTAATATCTAACTTGAACCAAATTTTTGATATTTTTCATACTTAAGGAACTTGATTTCGTCACTGAGTTCAGGAATTGCAGTGATATCTCCAGGCGAGGACAACATGGATCCTTCTAAAGACTCCTCCAGGTTTGTCAGATCAGCATCTATATCATCTGTGTCCAGGGAGTGTCCACCATTGTCCATCATGGAGTCATTGGTCTGTGGTTGACTTGCTTGCAACTGGATCTGCAGCTGTATTGCAAAAAATTTTACAGTTTTTAATGATGATGATAGAAATCTATTGAAATAATGTAGCCAGTGGTTGCAAGAAAGTTGGAGTTACCTCCCTTGAATTGGTATATTACCTCATACACCCTATGCTTTATCATTGCTCCTTGATGTGATAAGGAATTTATATCAAAAACAAAAGGTACTTATGATCTCATCTCTATTAATTGGGAAGATATCCTTTCTTCTAAAGACTTTGCCGTGCCAGAAGATACGTACTAACAGATATTTCATCAAAACCTACTTGTAATTATCATCTCTTCTACTAAGCACTTAACAGATTGTGTGTCTACAAAGAATTTTGATTTCCATTTCCATGGTAAACAAACCACATGTTGTGACCAGACATGGGTTATTTACAAACTACAGTTTACCACTTGCCTCTGACAGACATTAAAATCTGTTGCCAAAGCAGCCTCTAACAGGCATTTAAATGTGTTACCATGGTAACTATAGTTATACAGCTCATGGTGATGTACCTGTAGTGCTGCAAACATCATCATTTCCTCCTCTGTACAGTCAACCTCCTCTGACAAGATATTCCACTTGGCCTGTTCATATATCTGGTTTATCCTGACAGCATCATACTGCAATCAAACAATAAGGTCAAGTTCATAACAACACCTACACAAAGTCATGTAACATTTTTAACTTTCAACTTAAAATGTCATGCGACCCTCCCCCACCCCCACCACCACCAAAAAAAAATATCAAGCAAGGCTTATTAAGAGACTGAAATTATTATTAAATTATCTTTATGATCAAGTAGTTTATGCCCATCATTAAGCAAAAGCAACAATGTGATAATTCATTTTTTAAGATAAAAAAGGCATTGGTACATATAGGTAGAACTCACTGTGAATTAATGATTGTGTGTGGGAGTAGTGAGGAGGTTGTATATTATTGGTTATGGCACCTGTATATATTTGTGGGCAAAGAAGAAAGATTAACCTCTTGTGTGTGTGTGGTAGGAGTTCATAAGCTGTTATAGGAACTATAAATAAACTTAAACCACAAAACCTGTTTTGATCTTTACATAAATGTAATTAAATTTTGTGCAATTTTGCTTCCTTGATGATATCTAATGAGAAGGCAAGTTACAGAAAAATGATGGGCTGACTGGGAAGTTTATGTAACCGTAATAGCTTTGCCTCAATGAAACGATGTTTTCCTGAAAAAAAAGTATACATCTGAAATTTTACTGATAACAGCCTACACCCACTCCTCAGTCAATGGTTTAGCATTAGGTCAGCTCACCAAAACATCAGAGGAGCTACACAAGACTCTTCAAAGAGGAATCTTAGTACAGAACTATACACACCACTGATGGGGCACACTTTACAACTGTGAAATATCATTTGGAAGAAGTTCAGTGGCTGAGATGAGGTGGAAAGAAACAAGATGTCCAGAGTGAATAGGGTGTACTGGAAAAGTGTACCCATAAGGATATTGTGGGTTGGGCTTTTGTTGGAGAAGTGGAAGGGGGTTGAGAATTCAGTGTCACTTGAGTTATCTCTTTATCAATTGTATGATGAAACTACATCACAGCAGAAAGTAACAGCTACACTTCTGAAGAAAATTCAACAAAGCCAATTTTGATATTGAAAAATATCTTTATAAGCCTACAACAAAACATCTACACTCCAAACAATACATACATTTTTTCATTTCACATGATATTGTATAATTTCAGACACTTCACACTATTTTGTACAAAAAAAAACCTATCCCCCCCCCCCCTCCTAAATATATGCCAACATCAGCAAAGTAAAAAAGTTAGACATTCTTTTTGTCTAGGAATGTAACCTAACATGATACTGTAGCACTAGTTCATACAAATAAAGTGAAACTAAGGCGAGTTCAGACACCCAAAATACTTTCTGATATGCCAACATCAACACACATTCTTTATCTCACAGACTATATCAAAATCTGATACTGTACACAGTGTGGTTAAATAGGGCTTTCCTTATTAAAGGCCTATGTCTGTTTGACATACTGTACTAAAAGTCTAGGTCTTCCAACTGTTCTTTACAACAGTTCTTTACTGTAATTGAGACCAATTTAAATTCTATTTTTGTTCGACATACTGTTCTTAAATCTAGGTCTTCTTCATATGTATTCTTTACTGTAATTGGGGCTGATCTTAGATAACCAAGACAGCTAGCTGGTATTACATGATATATCAGATTTCTTGGCTTTTCTTTTACATTAGTTCTTCTGATATAATGTGTCATCTCCCCTCAAGCTCTAAGGACCTTGCTGGCTCCCCCACCCTCCCCCAACGAGCTCTATGGACCTTGTAGGATTCTCTTCCCAAAACTTCTAGAGATCCTTGTAGGTTACTCTACCCACAAGCTCTAGGGATCCTTGTAGGTCAGTCTCCCCACAATCTCTAGGGATCCTTGTAGGTTACTCTCCCCACAAGCTCTAAGAATCCTTGTAGGTCACTCTCCCCACAAGCTCTAGGGATCCTTATAGGTTTCACTCCCTACAAGCTCTAGGAATCCTTGTAGGTTACTCTACCCACAAGCTCTAGGGATCCTTGAAGGTTACTCTACCAACAAGCTCTAGGGATCCTTGTAGGTCACTCTCCCTACAAGCTCTAGGGATCCTTATAGGTTTCACTCCCTACAAGCTCTAGGAATCCTTGTAGGTTACTCTACCCACAAGCTCTAGGGATCCTTGTAGGTTTCTCTACCCACAAGCTCTAGGGAACCTTGTAGGTTACTCTCCCTACAAGCTCTAGGAATCCTTATAGGTTTCACTCCCTACAAGCTCGAGGAATCCTTGTAGGTTACTCTACCCACAAGCTCTAGGGATCCTTGTAGGTTACTCTACCCACAAGCTCTAGGAATCCTTGTAGGTCACTCTACCAACAAGCTCCAGGAATCCTTGTAGGTTTCACTCCCTACAAGCTCTAGGAATCCTTGTAGGTTACTCTACCAACAAGCTCCAGGAATCCTTGTAGGTTTCACTCCCCACAAGCTCTAGGGATATTTATAGGTTTCTCTATAACAATGTCATATTCCACACATGGAGCATAACATGGGTCAAGCTAATTAGAGACTACGTTCGGTATATCCGACAGCTCATACCTGTAGTTTATGATAAGCAGAAAGCAAATATAACTGTTGCACTCTGCTTATCAAATAAAGGTTTCACTTTTGAATTAATTTTGAAACTAGAACAGACTTCAAAGTTTCATTATTCAGAGATCTTAATTTGATTCAACATGTTTATTCATACATACCCAACCCAACACCATTTCAAAAGAACTTAAACCTTACTTTGAAAGGTATTATGAATGTTTCAAGTTTACAAACTACACCGAAGACCTGCTTCACTGATGTACTTTAACAAACAGTATAATACATGATATTACTTAGGTACATACGCCCCACAATCAATGTTTGGTAGTATTTAAACATCATACACAAACAATGATGATTATGAATTAAGTTCCGGTCACAAACATTTTTTTTATTTGTCAGGAATGAAGGTAAACTACAGACTATATAGATATAGTTTAATTTAAAATCTGTATTCCTAGGCATATAATACAAAGTCCAAAATGATTTACTCAATTGTTCATCATTCAAAAGAAATCTTAAAACCAGGGCAAATTTATGTAAAAATAAACACCACTTAGGTATGCAGAACATTCCAGATACAGCCTAACTAGAGTGGCCCTCGAGTTGTTTATAAGTTCTAGGATGTACATATGAAAACAACAACATAAGTATGCATCCCTAATCCCCTTGATCCCTAGTTTATGTACTTATATAGCTTTACATCCTTTGACCACCACTTCAAATTTCCTGGTCTGTATTAATAACATACTCTTACTGTTATCCTAAGTATTTTTTTCAGAATTTTTCTTTATATAAAGCCTGACTGATCATTAGAAATCATTCATGTCTTTTCATGACATTATCCATTTAAACAATTAAATACAACTTCACATTGTATCTGATTTTGTGCATGTAAATACAATGTAGTCCAACTGACTGAAAGGCAGACAGACTTAACAAGTGTTAAAAACCCCTATGGAACTTTGACAGACTACGCACTGTCTAAACTGACCAGTATCTTGTTCAGTATCAATACAACATTTGCCAATGGGAACATTTTAATGAAACCTGCTGAATAATTAAAAACCTTTTAAATGAGAAACATTGTGCAGTGCTTTGCTTAGAAGTGTTTAAATGTACCTCTGAAATATCGAATACGAATGAAACACTCATAAATATATCGGACAATTATCACTGGTATACGAGCATCTATGACAAGGTATCTACCAAAGATCTGTATGTATACATTAAGATGCATTCGGGGGGCCTTTATCGCCTGCTGCCTCTAATTATACACCGGTGTGTATACCTGAAGTGCATACATGCATGACCTATTTTTCTCTGAACTCTGACCCCCTTTTGGCACAAGTCTGGCTCTGTTCCAACCTCTGCAGCTCTGGTCTAAACTCAGATGTGTTACTATGACTATATGGTAAATGGTGTCAGCAGTCTTATAGTCTGCTTCACCCATAATACATGTATAATTTGAAGAATGGTATTGGCATCGGCTCAGAATTTTAGTGAAATTAAAAAAACACCCATTCTGAAATCTATTTCAAGTGATTTTAAAATACAAACAAGCATTGTTGTTTTCCTAAGAATGAATTATTGACTGCATTGAAAACTATTTTACTCGAACGTAATGGAACCATCCTGACGACCTCACTGTCATATACACACAAAATACATAACTGTTTCGACAGTAAGTGTATTTATCTCAATTACTTCTTACGTCAAACTTAAACCTCTATATGACCTCTGTCTATCCCGGTGGCATCTTCCATAAGCACTGGGTTTTAATGAGTAATGTACATTAGGTAATTTGGTTAATGAATTCCATCCTTTCCACTAGTCTGCTGCTAATGGATATCTTGTCATGTCTTGCTTTTTACACTTTCAAAGCTACCTCCGGGAAAATACACAAAAGAAAACATTCCACAAGGCAAGATTGGAATTAAATGAGTCAGAAAAGTTACAAAAGTTATTGTTACAAGGCTAAGGACCCATTTAACATGATGTTGTACCTTAAACATCCTAGGTTTAGCTATAATCTGAAAAAATTTACACACACATAAAACATGTGTACAATCCTAACTTTAAAAAGCTGTACAGGCATTCACTATACAAATCACATAAGTTTTATTCCCTCCATCACTGATAAATGAAATCTGCTTCCCCTTGTTTCTCACTGTTACACCTCACTGGCTGATAAAGGTTGAAATCTAACTGGCAAATTAATGTCATCAAGACAGGAACTGTTTTGTCAGTCAGCCTTGGTTTTTAAACTGATACAAGTACATATATCACTTACATAAGTGAAACCTGTATGGTCTGGTTAAAGAACCGAGTAACAATATCAGAATTGATGAATACCTGAAATCCTCGGTTACAGAAATGACAAGTAACACTAATTTGTTACAGAGCTGACAAGTTCTACTTTGTACTCCTTGTTTACAGAACTGACGGGTACCTGCACTAATCTATTACAGAACTGATGAGTACCTGCACTAATT